TTTTTCCATATGTTTGTGTCATCTCCAATTCCTTTGAGCAGTGTTTCATAGCTCTCCTTGTAGAAAGCTTTCACCTCCCTGGTGAGCTGTATTCCTAGGTATTTTATTGTTTTTGTGGCTATTGTGAATGGGATTGTGCTCCTTATTTGGCTCTCAGCTTGACTGTTATTGGCATTTAGGGATGTGGGTAATTTTTGCACATTAATTTTGTATCCTGAGGCATTACTAAAGTTGTTTATCAGCTTAAGGAGCTTTTGGGCTGAGACTGTGAGATTTTCTAGATATGGAATCATGTCATCTGAAAATAGGGATAGTTTGTATTCCTGTCTTTCTATTTGAATGCCCTTTATTTTTTTCTTTTGCTTGAATGTCTTGCCGAGAAATTCTAATACTATGTTGAATAGGAGTGGTAAGAGAGGGCATCCTTGTCTTGTGCTTGTTTTCAAGGGGAATGCTTCCAGCTTTTGCCCACTCTGTGTGATGTTGGCTGTGGTTTCTCATAGATAGCTCTTATTATTTTGAGGTATGTTCCTTCAATACCTGGTTTATTGAGAGTTTTTTTTTAACCATAAAGCAGTGTTGAATTTTACTGAAAGCCTTTTCTATATCTATTGAGATAATCATGTGTTGTCTTTAGTTCTCTTTGTATGATGACACTTATTGATTGGCATACGTTGAACAAACCCTGCATCCTAGGAATAAACTCTACTTGATTGTGGTGGATAAGCTTTTTGATGTGCTTCTGGATTCAGTTTGCCAGTATTTTGTTGAGAATTTTCAAATCAATGCTCATCATGAATATTGGAAGTTTTATTTTGTTGTATCTCTGCCAGCTTTTTGTATCTGGATGACGCTGGCCTCATAGAATGAGTTAGGGAGGAATCCATCCTCCTCAATTTTTTGGAATAGTTTCAGCAGGAATGATACCAGCTCTTCTTCATACATCTGGTAGAATTCAGCTGTGAATTCATTTTGTCTTCGGATTTTAAGTATTTATCAATTTTTTGATTGTTAAGCTATTTATTACTAACTCATTTTCAGAGCTTGTTGTTGGTCTGTTCAGGGATTCAATTTCTTTCTGGATCAGTCTTGGGAGGGTATATATGTCCAAGAATTTATCTCTTTCTTCTAGATTTTCTAGTGTGTGATGTACCACATTTTCTTTATCCAATTTACCATTGATGGGCACCCAGGTTAATTCCACATCATTACTTTTGTAAATAGACTGGTGGTGAACATACTAGTGCATGTGTCTTTCTAGTATAATGATCTATTTTCCTTTGAGTATATACCCAGTAATGGGATGGCTAGGTGGAATGTTAGCTCTATTTCAAGTTCTTTGAGAAATCTTCAAACTGCTTTCCACATTGGCTAAAGTAATTTACATTCCCACCAGCAGTGTATAAGCATTCCCTTCTTTCTACAGCCTTACCAGCATATATTGTTTTTTGACTTTTTAATAATGGCCATTCTGACTGGTATGAGACGGTATTCCGTTGCAGTTTTGATTTGCATTTCTCTGGTGATTAATGATGAGAAGGATTTTTTTTTGGTCACTTGCATGTCTTTTTTGAGAAGTGTCTGTCATGTCCTTTATTCAGTTTTTAATGGAGTTATTTGTGTTTTTGCTTATAGATTAGTTTAAGTTCCTCGATATTAGACCTTTGTTGGATGCATAGTTTGTGAATATTTTCCCCACTACATAGGTTGTCTATTTACTCTGTGGATAGTTTCGTTGGCTCTGCAGAAGCTCTTTAGTTTAATTAGGTTCCACTTGTCAAATTTTGCTTTTTTTTCTTAATATATATTTTACTGCATTTTAGATTTTGGGATACATGCGAAGAACATGCAAGATTGTTGCATTGGTACATACATGGCAATGTGGTTTGCTGCCTTCCTCCCCATCACCTGTATCTGGCAATTCTCCCCATGTTATCCCTCCCCAACTCGCCACCCCTGCTGTCCCTCCCCTAGTTTCTCCCTACAGACCCCAGTGTGTGATGCTCCCCACCCTGTGTCCGTGTATTCTCATTGTTCAACACCCACCTATGAGTGAGAACATGTGGTGTTTGATTTTCTGTTCTTGTGTCAGTTTGCTGAGAATGATGGTTTCCAGGTTCATCCATGTCCCTACAAAGGACATGAACTCATTGTCTTTATGGCTGCATAGTATTTCATGATGTATATGTGCCACATTTTCCCTGTCCAGTCTATCATCGATGGGCATTTGGGTTGGTTCCAGGTCTTTGCTATTGTAAGCAGTGCTGCAATGAACATTCATGTGCATGTGTCCTTATAATAGAATGTTTTATAATCCTTTGGATATATACCCGTAATGGGATTGCTGGGTCAAATGGGATTTCTATATCTAGGTCCTTGAGGAATTGCCATACTCTCTTCCACAATGGTTGAACTAATTTATACTCCCACCAACAGTGTAAAAGTGTTCCTATTTCTCCATATCCTCTCCAGCATCTGTTGTCTCCAGATGTTTTAATGATTGCCCTCTTCACAGAACTGGAAAAAAACACCTTAAACTTCATATGGAACAAAAAGAGAGCCCACATAGCCAAGATAATTCTAAGCAAAAAGAACAAAGCCAGAGGCATCACGCTACCTGATTTCAAATTATACTACAAGGCCACAGTAATCAAAACAGCATGATAGTTGTACAGAAACAGAGATATAGACCAATGGAACAGAACAGAGGCCTTGGAGGCAATGCCACACATCCACAACCATCTGATCTTTGACAAGCCTAACAAAAACAAGCAATGGGGAAAGGATTCCCTGTTTAATCAATGGTGTTGGGAAAACTGGCTAGCCATGTGCAGAAAGCAGAAACTGAACCCCTTCCTGACACCTTACACTAACATTAACTCCAGATGAGTTAAAGACTTAAACATAAGACCTAACACCATAAAAACCCTGGAAGAAAACCTAGGCAAAACCATTCAGGACATAGGCATAGGCAAGGACTTCATGAATAAAACACCAAAAGCATTGGCAACAGAAGACAAAATAGACAAATGGGACCTAATTAAACTCCAGAGCTTCTGCACAGCAAAAGAAACAATCATTAGAGTGAACTGGCAACCAAGAAAATGAGAAAAAAAAAATTGCAATCTACCCATCTGACAAAGGGCTAATATTCAGAGAATCTACAAAGAACTAAAACAGATTTACAAAAAAAAAAAAAAAAAAAAAAAAAAAAACCATTCAAAAGTGGGTGAAGAACATGAACGGATACTTTCAAAAGAAGACATTGATGAGGCCAACAAACATATGAAAAAATGCTCATCATCACTGATTATTAGAGAAATGCAAATCAAAACCACATTGAGATACCACCTCACGCCAGTCAGAATGGCGATCATTAAAAAATCTGGAGACAACAGATGCTGGAGAGGATGTGGAGAAATAGGAACACTTTCACACTTTTGGTGGAGTGTAAATTCGTTCAACCATTGTGGAAGAGAGTGTGGTGATTCCTCAAAGATCTAGATATAGAAATTCCATTTGACCCAGCAATACCATTACTGGGCATATATCCTAAGGATTATAAATCATTCTATTATAAAGACACATGCACACATATGTTCAATGCGGCACTATTTACCATAGCAAAGACCTGGAACCAACCCAAATGCCCACCGATGATAGATAGGACAAGGAAAATGTGGCATATATACATCATGGAATACTATGCAGCCACAAAAAGGATGAGTTCATGTCCTTTGTAGGGACATGGATGAACCTGGAAACCATCATTCTCAGCAAACTGACACAAGAACAGAAAATCAAACACCGCACATTCTTACTCATAGGCGGGTGCTGAACAATGAGAACATGTGGACACAGGGAGGGGAGCATCACACACTGGGGTCTGTTGAGGTGGGATAGAGGAGGGACAGCAGGGAGTAGGGAGGTTGGGGAGGGATAACATGGGAAGAAATTCCAGATATAGGTGATGGGGGAATGGAGGCAGCAAGCCACATTGCCATGTATGTACCTATGCAATAATCCTGCATGTTCTGCACATGTACCCCAGAACTTAAAGTGCAGTTAAAAATATATGTGTGTGTGTGCGTGTGTGTGTGTGTGTGTGTGTGTGTACTCCACTGAGTCATTCAAAGGTGGATTTAATGTTTAATTCATTTTGAAAAAATCTGTAATTTATTTCCATGGTTTTCATCAGTTTTGTACCTATAATAATTCTAAAGATCATCCAATCCAGAAGAAATGTTTTAACACAGAGCCTTATGATCACAGAATTTTTTTTTAAATGGGAGTGATCTGTAAAATATTTCCAGAAATAAAGATGAATTACATTGCATCTAAAATTTTGAATGAAAAAATATCAGTGAAAATGTACATTCACAGCCATAAAATTTTTTTAAAAAACACATGCACACAATGAAGGGAACAATAGGGGGCAAGGTGGGGATAGTTAATGAGCACAAAATAATAAAAAGAATGATTAAGACCTATTAATAGTGCCATTATAATCAATAAGAATTTTCTATTTTACAATCACTTAAATATTGTAATTGAATTTTTTTATGCAAAGGATAAATGCTTGGGAGGATGGATACCCCATTCTTCATGGTGTGATTATTACGCATTGCATGCCTGAATCAAAACATCCCATGTATCCCATAAATATGTACACTTACTATGTATACCATGTACCCCATAAATATATACACTTACTAGGTACCCCCCAAAATTTAGAATTTTTCTTTAAAAAAGAAGAGAACAATAGACACTGAGGCCTGCTGAAGGGTGGAGGGTAAGGAGGGGGTGAGGACTGAAAATCTACCTATAATGAGCAAGGTACTATGCTCATTACCTTGGTAAGAAAATAATCTGTACACCAAACCCCTGTGACATGCAATTTACCCATGTAACACACCCACATATGTACCCCCGAACCTAAAATGTAAGTTGAAAAAAAAGAAAATGTGCATTCACAGAAAAAAAGGAAATATGATAGTATCAAATCCATAGAGTGTTTATATTTCATTCTATATACTTACAAAAGTAATACAATAGTTTATTGCAAATATGCATATTTACTGTGTCAAAAAGCACATTTTTGCAACTATAGGCATACCTTGGTGATATTGCAGGTTCAGTTCAAGGTAACCAAAATAAAGCAAATATTGCAATAAAGCAAGTCATAAAGATTTTGTTTCCCAGTAAATATAAGTTATGTTTACACTCAAATCTATGCACATAAAGAAGAAAATCTGGAGGAAATGGATAAATTCCTGGAAACACACAATCTCCCAAGATTGAACCAGGAAGAGACAGAAACCCTGCATAGAACAATATCAAGCTCTCAAGTTGAATTAGTAATAAAAAGCTTACCAACCAACGAAAAAGCCCTACACCAGATGAATTCACAGCTGAATTCTACCAGATGTACAAAGAATAACTGGTACCAATCCTACAGAAATAGTGCCAAAAAATCAAGGAGGAAGGTCTCCTTCCTAACTCATTCTATGGAGCCAGCAACAGCCTGATAAAAATATCTGGTAGAGACACAATGGAAAAAGAAAATTACAAGCCAACATTCCTGATGAACATACATGCAAAAATTCTCAACAAAATACTAGCAAACTGCATTCAGCAGCACATAAAGAAGTTAATACACCACGAGTCCTGTTCTCGTCACCTCATAGTAGGTGAAGGTGAGACCTTGTATCTCTTATTCATTCTTTCCTCAACTCTTTACATACAGATTGCTTAAGAAAAGGTAGCAGAAATAATTTATTTGCACAGTGTCTGGATGTAGTAGCAGTTCAATGACTATTAATAAGTAAAAGAAGATATTGGAGAAGGAAAATGATCAGAACAAAAATGATGACAAGAGATGGCTCCCGAAGCACATTCTGGCTGTGGCAGGTGATAAGCCCTGAGCATTTTCATAAGGTTTTACGGCAAGTCTTAATAATGCCCCATTCTTGTTGTTGATCCTCCCCTCTGGTTCCTCCAAGTGTTATTACTTCTTCACAGAAGAGTAGATGACTTGGGAGTCCTGGGAGAGACATACAGGAATAAGACCTAAGTGATCAAGGAAATAAATATGGTGGAGGAAGGAAATATCAAGAACTTCCAAGGAGTCTAGCTCACCTTGTTCTCCAGAAATGTCCTGATGGTGTTTGCTGTTAAGAAAAAAGTAATGGTTCTGAGCCCTTGCATTCTCACTGAGGCCTCACCCCCAGACTTCATGCCCCAGAACATAGAACTACTATGCTTAGTGTGTGGAATTCCATTTTCTTTTGTTCTGTAAAGTCCTTCTTAAAGTTGTTAACACTGAAGTCCTTCTAAGGCTCTATCCATCGTCCAAGCCCTCCACCACTTACTTACAAAGCCCTCCCCTTCTCTAATGCAACTTCCCATAAGTCTTGGCTTTACAATTTTTTCTTCTTGACTTCTCTGTTACAGGATTCTGTCGCTGTTTCCTGTTGTTTCCCTATGTTCCTGTGTGGTTCACCTCACCATACAGAAGGAAATTGGAGCGGAAGCATAGGTAACGGAAGACAGACTCAGAATCACACAGCATTTTGAGTGGTTGCAGGTGCTGCTTAGTGATGTCTGTTTCTTTTCCCCCTTCTTTCCGGTATGCATAGTGGGATCAAATCTCTTTTCTTCTCCTGAAGATTTATAGCTAGAGGGCTTGGAAAATAAAGGCACCTTTTTGATTCTGCTAGGCTGGTCAGATAGAGATAGAGAATGATAGGGTAATCAATTCTCCATTGGAAGCCGAAGCAGCACAAATCTAAGCAAGACAGGCAGAGGACCCAGCTTCAGAGGAGAGTAGCTAGATGACCACTGACCAGGAAATCAGCCAAGCTATCAACAGCCACTGGCTCCATCAGAGGCAACCAGGAACACAGAACAAAGGACAGCTTTTAGGGTTGTTGGAATAAGGGTTACAGTTTTAAGGGCCCTAGAGCAGAAGCTTAAAGGACATTCCTCTGCACTGCTGCAGAACTCTACAATTCCTGCAAAGCTACATGTCAAAGTAAAAATTCTCTAGGTCAGGTTTATTCATCCAGCTTCTCCTCCCATCCCATGTGAAGACTGCAGATCCTTCAAAAGAGACACTTTAATGACCATGTTCACCTTGGACTTTAGACATGCTCATTCTTGCCTGATTTCCTTCCTTTGCCTTGTATCTTAGATTCTCCCTGACCATCTAACCCCATTCAAATGAAGACTCATTAGACCATCTCCCTATGTTTTCTAAGTTTGCTTTCTTCACAAGAGATTACCACCAAGTGTCTCTTGCTCCCTCCTGGATCAACAGATTTCCTATCAAGGGCAAGCAATGTATTAAAGTCTCTATTGCTGGCCAGGTGCGGAGGCTCACACCTGTAATCCCAGCACTAAGGGAAGCCAAGGCAGGTGGATCACTTGAGGTCGGGAGTTTGAGACCAGCCTGGTCAACAGGGTGAAACCCTGTCTTTACTAAAAATACAAAAATTAGCTGAACATGGTGGCACATGCCTGTCATTCCAACAACTTGGGAGGCTGAGGCAAGAGAATCGCTTGAACTCGGGAGGCAGAAGTTGCAGTGAGCTGAGATTGCACCACTGCACTCCAGCCTGGGTGACAGAACAAGACTCTGTCTCAAAAATAAATAAATAAATAAAACCTCTATTGCATACAATGCATCACTTTCCTGCGAATATGCATCTGACAAGAACCACTTTGCTTTTTCTCACCTGAGTCTTCTGACTGCTGGATGCTCCTGACCTGAGAATAAACCACATCCATATCTACAGAGCCCACTGCAGAGAGAAGACAAGAGTTCACAGATGTTGGTGGCCAAGGGTTCAAACTTCACACACATCTTCCCAGACCCTGGCTTAATGATCTGGAATGGTTTCCTCCCAACTCCAATACGATTCCGAGAGAGTCATTTATTTATTGGGAATGGCTGGGCCTCAGGGGTTGCGGTGGCTAGACGGGTCTCTACTTCTATCTCCTCTTTCTTTTCTGCCTCCGCCTCAGATCCCATCCCAGTGAAGAAACTCACCATTGGCATACACTGGCTGCAGCTCCTCCATGTCTGGGATTGGACTGGAATAGGTGGACACTTGAGGATTTGTCCTGGAAGCACCTCTGTGAGAAAGTGAATTAACTGCATGAGTCTCCAGGGCTGTGAGTGAGAACAGAGGGGAGACAGGCTGGGGAGAGAGCAGGTAGAAATCATGAATCATGACTCTATGCCTGGGTGATTTTTATGTCCTTTTTATAGACTACTTTGATTTGGCCAAAATGTTGTTCCTCATCTTTGGCTTTTCCAAAAGTTATAGATAAGACAATGATATTGCTCCAAAATCATTTTCTTTCTTATAAACTGTCATAAAATTTTGCCTGCCTTTTTCTTATTACTTTATCTCTCTTACTCCTTCTTGTACTCTGGACTTATATTACATGTCTATAAAACAGTATGTCCCTTGAGGAAATAACATTTTATGTGTATTTTCATTCCTCTAAATACCTAAGAAAAACTTACTTATTCATTATATGTATTCAATAATCTTGAATATATGAATTCATAAATTAAATGTATCTAATCCTATACAAGATAACACCTAGGCTCATGTGGACCACAATAAAACAGTGCCCTGGTGGTGTAAATGTAATGTAGAGACAAGAGTAAGTATCACAGAAAGATGCCATGTAATTACAGAGCCTTCATCTCTACGTACAAGCAGAGTTCAGTGGATATTTAAAACTGTGAATGAAGGAGACATCTAGAATTAAAAGTTTTACTAGAAAGAATTCTCACCTGGGTTCACTAGTTGCATAACTTTCTCCTGAAAAGCAAATAAAAGAAAATTCATTTAGGGAAGGACGCTTTATCTCTTAAAATTTTGACATGATTTAACTATGTATAATCAGTTGGTAAGACATAGGGTATAGAGGAGTAAACCAATTGTATTTCACCTAAATGGCTACATATTTATTCCAACACAACTAGTTGTTAAAAAACAATTCATTCTTTTTTTTTTCCCCACTGATTTAAAATGCCATTTCAAATGGCAAACCCTGCATGAACTGGTAAGTGTTTCTTGATTTTCTATTCTGTTCTATTGTCTCTTTGTCTATTCATGTACCTGTACAGTGTTATTTTAGCTGTCATAAAATATAACATTTTAACCACTGATGACACTAATTTTATCTTATTGCTCTTCTGTAGTCGATTTTATGCAGCCATTCTTAATTTTTAAATGTTTGCAACACCTAGTCTGTAGCAGTGATCATGGGGCTAGGCTGAATATTGACATTTGTAAGACACACTAGGCCATCTCTTGCACCATTTCGCTTTGCAGAGAGATGTAAAACAAGAAACACAGCATATCACCATCGATAATCAGCTGTGTCTTCAGAGGGAGTTCTCATAGCGATCCAGGAGATATTTTCTAATCCTCCAATTAATAGCTCAGGAAACAATGCCACATGGATGTGTATAGGGGCCACCCTGGCTCAAAAGCTTCATGCTTCGTAGAAATCATTATCATCTGTAACACCTGTGAGCGTATGAGTGTAGCTTCCTGAGGCCACCCCTATTAGACACATGCTAAATTTCAAGAGGTACACTGCACTTGAGGATACTCCAGTTGTGCTTCCCATCAGGCTTATATAATCCTGGTCAAAGTCCTCCCAGTTTAGATGCAATTTGCCAATCATGGAAAATGCTGCTAGCAGCTCTGCCAATACTTCAACTTTGTTAGGTTTTACAGAAAACAGTGCCAGAAAATTGACTTTGATTTAGTTTGCCAAGGAGAAGGTAAAACTTCTTTATAATTAGCTTGTTAGGTCTTCAAGGAAAGGAATGACCTCAGAATTGTCTACCAAGCCAAACTGTCATTAAAGCATGTCAAGGGGAAATCAGTCATATTCAAACATGTATTACATCTGTGTATATGTTTCTAGCAACTCCTTCTTGAAGAAATTATTTTAAAATGGACTTCAGAATAGTTCTACTATCTAAGCACTTTTGAATAAAAACAAAATCTGATGATACATCGGTTCACAAAGAAAACCTCCAAAATATTTCAAACATGGACATGATACAAATAATATTCTTTCATCATAATGGAACTGGTAATTCATAACAAAACTATGAAAAAATTGACACATGTCTATAATTTATCAATGTAAAGGAAGCAAGCCTTAAGCAACTGAATACCTATACAAATATATAAGAAAAAAGGGAAATTAAATATCCAATTTGTTCAAAAGAATAAAACTAACAAAAACGAAAGGCAACAACTAACCAAGATGAAAGCAGAATTCTAGAATTAAAAAGCAAAATTGGTAGAACAAATAATAAATTCTAAGTTTTGCCATATAGGAGATAGAGGTGCTATCTTTCTAGATGATTACATTTCAAAGGGACAGCTCCCAAGTCCTAGAGAGACATTTCTGGGTTGTGAAACTGGCAAGAGGCTAAGAGAAATTTGTATCTCAAAGAGGCAGAGAAAGGATTTACAATTGCAAGTTTTCTAAAGTAAATACTCTAAGAAAAGGCAGATGAGGAGTCTATAGTCAATCTGAGGACAGTGTTAAGGCCAGCTTGGTTCGGGCAGGAGTGCCCTGTGTTGACACATGCCTGAGGAATCTTAAGGAGAAAACTTCCTCTTGAAAAGCAGGTGAAGGAACATTCATTTCAGGGAAGATGTGGTCATCTGCCTGAGGCACGAGCTGCATATTTACAGGTGGGTGCAATGATGTGTGAGTGTTCTTGTGGATGGATCTGAGCCCTGTGGAAAACAGGCCTAGCTTGAAGCCATTTCAAAATCTGCCCAGGAGGACTGCCTGTTCCAAAATGAGGGTGGAGGAGAAGGGGAAGAAGGCTCTAGATTCTTGGAAACTGAAGAGAGTCATTAAGTGCTCGGCTGGAGAAAAATGAATCACCTGCAAGAAGGGTAGGTAATGTTAACAGTTGGGGGGCTCTGGAGAATCCAGAAACATCCCACCAAAATAAGAGCTGATTTTCTCAATCCAGCAAACCTGGAGAGTCAGCTTTTTTGGAGCCAGAGGAAATCAATGCCAACCACGGGGGCTTCAAAAACAGAAGCCAGTTGAGGAAAGAGAGAAACATCTGGCTAGAAACCTTTACACACTGCAGAAGGCTGGCCTGAAGAGGGTCTGAGGTGAGTGGGTGGGAGGTGAGTGCTTTAACTTTGTGATCCAGAAAGCTTTTCATCATTATTACATGAGACCAAGCACACTGATTAATGAACAAGGACTCTTTGGAGAAACTACGTTTTCGTTGTTGTTATTGTTGTTTGCCTAAAATTACATAGAAGTGATTTGGTTTGTCTGTGTCCCCACCAAAATCTCATCTTGAATTCCCACATGTTGTGGGAGAGACCCAGTGGGAGGTAATTTCATCAAGGTGGCAAGTCTTCCCCGTACTGTTCTTGTGATAGTGAATTTACATCTTTTGTAAATTGCCCAGTCTCAGGTGTGCCTTTGTAAGCAGTATGAAAACCAACTAATACAAGGACTAAGTGGATAGACTATGGGCCTACCTGAGATTTCAACCAGAGTAAGGGAAAATATAAGCCCCTAATAGTGAGTGTGAATGGGCATTGGGAAGAGGGAGACAAAAAATTAAGTTTTATGGTTGCACTCCAAGAGTACCCTGGTTCAATGAGTCAATTACAATAGCAACAATCAATCAATATTTCAGGAGCAAGCTTAGCAAGAAATGATGAAAGCCTATATAAGTAAAACCCTAAAATACTATGACTCAAAATTTTCCAAAAGTAGACATGCTCTTGGATGAAAAATTTCTCATTATAAAGCTGTCAATTCTTCCTTAATTAATCTCAAAATTTAAGAGAATCCTAACAAAAACGATTTCTTGAGAGATACTTGATTATATTGCTTGTGGGGAAAAATAAATAAGCAATAACATCCAGAAAAATTCTGTAAGAATAACATAGTCATGATGGGAACAACCTTGATAGAAGAAATAAATGTATTGCTATAAAGCAAAGGCATACAAATCAAACACACAAACACACGTACACACATATCGACACATACACAAACAGAATACAGCATTAAAGTTAGATCTGAATAGTATTTGATATTTAGTATAGCTGTTTTTATCCGCTACACTTCTGTCGCCGGGTGTGTCTTTCTTCCCCCATACCAGTCAATTTTCCAACTCTTACAATACTAATTACAATTAAACTCAGTTCTGACACTACTCAGAGTTAATGTAGACCCCATAGGTAAAGGGCTGTGTCCCGCAAAACTGCCCTCAACTCCAGATGCCAATAATATGTCACGGGCTTCATATCCTTCTGACCAAATTGTTATAAATTGGGGATTCTCATACTCCCTCCTCAGTTTCAGTAATTTTCTATATAGAACTCAAAGAAACACTTCAGTTACTCTTAATGGTTTATTTTAAAGGATATTATAAAAGATACAAATATAAAACCAGATGAAAAAAGGTAAGGCGATATCTGGAAGTGTACTGGACACTGGAGTTTCCATTTCCATGGAAATGGGGTGCTCTACCCTCCCAGTATATAGACGTATTCACCAACTGGCAAGCTCCCCAAATCCCATTGTTTAGGATTTTTATAGTGCTCCCATTACATAGGTATGATTGATTAAATGATTGGCAATTGGTGGTTAGATAAACCTTTAGTCCCTCTCCCGTCCTCAGAGGTCCACAGGTGGGGCTGGAAGTTCCAACCCTCTCATCAGAAGGTTGGTGTTTCTGAAAACCAGCTCTTATCTTGAAGCTATCCAGGAGTCCCTCTGTTGGGACTCATCTCATTAACATACCAAAGACCAACTCTTCTACTAACAACTAGAAAGGCTGGGCAAAAGAGTTTTAAAGTCTGTTTATAAGCATTGAAAAGGTAGTAAGATAGTGAAAAATTGCTGAGACAGGAGAGCAAAGAGGATCAGGAAGTGTGAGGATAAGCCCACCCAGCATGGCTTTGCCCTCCCCCTGACCACACCAGAGCACACAGCCTGGAGGCCAGGGAATTACCCAGCCCAGTCCACCACCATGGTACCTAATCCTCCTCCAGGGGGCCTGAGGTTGGGTTTACCAATCCTGCCACTGTCACCCCAGCTGATGCCTACCCACATGCACCACCTGCAGGTCTGAAGTCTGACTTGCCCAGCCTACCACAGCCACTACCAGCACCAGTTTGCACTCTTTGGAACTCAGAGGGTAGTCCCGCCACTGTCACTGCCATTGCCCAAGCTATGCTGGCTTCCCAGGGGCCTGAGGACCCTTTCCCCTGCCTGGCCCAGCACTGCCACTACAGGTATATGATTAAGTCACTCGGAGAACTTTTTGAATACTTTTTGAAAAGCATTCAAATTATTGGGGTGCCAGATGACAAAGACAGAATGAAAAGGTTAGAAAACCTATTTAATGAAATAATAGAGGAAAACTTCTAAAGTCTAGCAAAAGATTTAGACATCCAGATACAAAAGCCTCTGAGATCTTCAAACAAATACCATGCAAAAAAGTATTTTCCATGACACACTATAATAAAACAGTCTAAAGTCAAATACAAGGAGAGAATTTTTTAACAAGAGAAAAGCATCTAATCACCTATACACACACACACACACTCTATCATACTAACAGTGAATTTCTCAGAGAAACCTTACAGGCCAAGAGAGAATGAGATGAAATATTCAAAGTACTTTAGACCAAATTCTACCAAATGTATACAGAACTAATACCAATCGTCCCCAAACTGTTCCAAAAAAAAAAAAAAAAAATTGAAGAGAATGAAATTCTCTTTAACCCATTCTGCAAGGATAGAATTACCCTGATACCAAAACTGGACATGAATACAAACAAAAAAGAAAACTACCAGCCAGTATCCCTGATGAACATAGACACAAAAATCTTCAACTAAAGAGGGGAAGGGCTCAGGGAGAAAAACCTAACTTCTGGAATCACTTGTTCCAAGGAACATTCGCTGATTCCAGAGAGGACAGTCAAGAGGCTTGTGCTTTTGATAGTGCTGTGGGATTTAAAGACATAGTAGATTGGAACTCATGGTGATATATGTGGAAATTTTTTAAATGTGCTTAAAATTCGTTGACAGTTCTCCCATTTAGAAGTAAAGTCTGTGCCCTTTCCACTGATATCTAGGCAACTGTGAAGCACCAGGACACAGTAACATTGTGGTATAAGGGACACCACATCATAATTTTTGAAATTAGTTGATTAAATGCATTGCAGCTTCATTACCACACTTGCTTTTGGAGCCTGAACCAGCATGTTAAAAGTCTGGCTACTTTGAGGTCATCAGGCTGTGAGGAAATCCAGGCGATGCTGAGAGGCTGCATATATGTGCTCTCATTGAGTCTCAGCTGAAGCTGCAACATATGGCCAGCATCAACAGCCAGATATGTGAGTGAAGATGGCTTCTTATGATCTATACCATGCATCTCAGAATTCAAGGAGTCTGTGCTCTTTTCATAAAGAAGGTAGCTAATACTAAATGGATAATTAAAAGAAAAAAGAGCACATTAAATTGTTTTAGTTCCTTTAAATCTAGCTCCTCTTTACATTTTGCTCCATTGTACATAAGGTAATTACGTCTGTTGAAAATTATTAAATGGCAATTAAGAATTAGAATTTTTAATTTAAGAGTCAAACATGGAGGGAAGGTGTAAATATTTTAATCTCAAGTGACTATGCACAGGAGACAATGACATATTGTATAATTAGCAGTATAACCACATTGAGCATTACACAGGACTTTGCAGAATTTGAAGCCTAAAAAAAAAAAATTATTGGATTTTGGAGGATTTCTTTTCTACTTTTTTTTTTTTTTTTTTTGGAATTTCAATCTATATCAGTAGTGGAAATTTCCATAGCAAAATATGGAAAATTCAAATAGTAGTTACAACCTGACGTCTTGTGGAACAGGCAATACAACAGCAAAGCAGCAGCAGTGAAACCAAGGACACCAAACAGGCCCCCAAGAACTCTGGCTGTCATGAGGTCTCTTCTATAGCCATGAGGTCCTGAGGAAAGAAAGCAGTGCTTCAGCCTCAGAGATTAAAGACGTGGGCCCTTCTTGTGAATACTATGTAGGGATGGCAAATACAAATTCATGGAAGAGGTCTTTGAAGTGTAGTCTGTACTCTTCCGTGTGGGGAGAAGAGGAACAGCTGGACGCTGAGATCAACTCCCCCCTCCTCACGCATAGCAGACGTCTCCAGGCTGGTGAGACACAGCCATTGCCATCATACTCTGTATCCAGGTAGCACCCACCCACCTGAGATGGAGATTGGCACCGCCTCACTGCGCTGGGACCCCAGGCCATTGTCAGCCTCACAGGAGTAGTTTCCAGAATGTTCTGCAGTCAGAGAAATGTTGAAGGAGGCTCCTCCTCCAGAGGGGGCTGAGCTGTTCCCCAGGGTGACATTCTCATGATAAAACCAGTACAGGATCGGGGAAGAGCCTCTCTGGGCCTCACAGTGAAGCGTCAGCAGATCCCCCACCACAGCCTGGGGCCTGGGAGCCCTGAGGGTGAGGACTGGGCAAGACACTGGAACTGACAGACACAGAGGGGTTATCAGAAAAGATTTGTGATGCTGCAATAGATTCATAGACTCCCATCCTGCAGGCTCAGCAAAGGGCCTGGACCCGTGGGTATCGTGTCCTTTCCATTCTCACATTCCCACTAGAACAGTCAGAGGTAATTTTCTCAGCAATATAAGTTTGGGGAGAATATCAGTTCTGGGGTGCTACCTACAGACATAGTCATATGTTGTTCTCACCTGATTGTTTTCTTGTGCCCATCCAGCCCTCTTTTTATTTCTTTTGTTTTGTATCCTGTAATTTTTTATCGGGAAAGAATTATAAGATTTCTATAATATTATAGTTGTTCCTGGGAAAACGGATACATAGGAGCATTTCTAAGCACATATTTTGGTGTGTTTGTTCAGCCTGGTTTAGGACTGTAGGAATGGGTCAGAACAGAAATGCCCACTTGGCTACCAGGTAATTTTCCACACCAGTAAATCACCAGTAACATGTCTCCCTTTGGGTGTAATCTCTGCAAGGTAGAAACACTCAAATCACTTTGAAGGAAATGACATAAAATGAAGCAGGCTGTTACACTATAAACCTTTTAGATCCATGACACTCCCTGGCCCAGAGCTCCAAGGTTTCATGTAATAGATGTTTCATTAACCTATTGTAGTATGGCAAGAATGCTTATGCTTCGTAATCAGTTGCAGCCCTCTTTATGTTTCCTTCCACAAAAAGAAACAGGTCAGCAGGCTAACCTGCAAGGGTAACCCATCTGCAAATTGCTTTTGGTTCTCCGCAACACTAATCCCTGGGGCCTCCTGAAATTTCCTCATGACTCCTGTGTACCATGACCTTGGTTTGGGAATTTCTGGCAGATATGAATGAGAGTGTCACTCACTTCTCACAGGTATATTCACCACCTTGCTCTGGATAGGCTCATGGCCGTTGTCAGCTTGACAGTAATACTTGCCGGCATCACTCTCCTTCACAGCCAGGATCTCCAGCTCTGCTGACAGGGAATGCTGGGTTTTCTTTCCCAGAATGGTACCTGTGGCCTCTCTGTACCAGGAGAATGTCACATTTCCTGTACCCCCAGCCACTGAGCAGAGCAGGATCAGTCTCTGTCCTTCAGTCACCTGTCCCCCAGGGACCCGGGTCTCCAAGCTCACATTAGAGATGGGAATTCCTAGATGGATATAAGATAAAAGGCGAGAACTCTAAGGGAAACTCTAGGAATAGGGTTTGACTGATTCCATTCTCTAATGCAAGGAGTGGGAATGTAGAGATTGTATAGATAATCCATTATAAGCATTCCTATGGAGGTAAGGAATCTATGACAATTATCATTGAGGAATGTGGATAAAGATATTTGTATGTCCTAACCCTGGCTAATTTCTAATGGCTCTCTAAATGTCTCCACATGCTGAAATTGCAACACAAATTGACTTATCCGAAGGCAATGTGGTGCTATAGTGTATAGCAGCATCTGAAGCATCAGGAAAAGCAGATCTGAGTGAATAGAGCGGTCAGAGGAGAAGTTGCCGGCATCACTCTCCTTCACAGAGTGAAGAGGGTGATTCTTTTAAGTCTTTTAAAATTCTTTTAAATAATTTGTGATGGATCATCCACTCCATGAGACAGGAAACTGTTCAATTTTTTGGAAAAGTCACTTGCACACAGATGTCTTTTGCACAGAATATAGAGGGCACTGATATCATCAGTCCTGCCTTGGAAAAGTCACAGTCCCAATAACAATTCTTCTATTATTCTTAATTTCAAGGTTCAACCAAATACAACTTCTCCTCTGACGGCTCCGTTCACTCAGATCTGCTTTTCCTGATGCTTCAGATAGTGCTATACGCTCTAGCACCACATTGCCTTCGGGTAAGTCAATTTGTGTTGCAATTTCAGCATGTGGAGACGTTTAGAGGGCCATTAGAAAGCAGGTGGTTTGTCTTGCAAAGTACCGAACCCGCTGCTAAATGACAAGGCATACAGTCAGTGATCAATCAAGTCTTGATCAATGAATATTACTTAACTAATAAAAAAGATGATAAGGGGCTTAGTCCATTTCTGATTCTTATGAAGAAAGAAAGGCCGGGCGCGGTGGCTCAAGCCTGTAATCCCAGCACTTTGGGAGGCCGAGGCGGGTGGATCACGAGGTCAAGAGATCGAGACCATCCTGGTCAATATGGTGAAGCCCCGTCTCTATTAAAACTACAAAAAATTAGCTGGGCATGGTGGCGCGTGCCTGTAATCCCAGCTACTCAGGAGGCTGAGGCAGGAGAATTGCCTGAACCCAGGAGGCGGAGGTTGCGGTGAGCCGAGATCGCGCCATTGCACTCCAGCCTGGGTAACAAGAGCGAAACTCCGTCTCCAAGAAAAAAAAAAAAAAAAAAAAAAAGAAGCCAGGAGCAATCTGGAGGGTTTTTCCAGCTTAATGTTCACTTTCTTCAAGGACAGGAGTTGAACAAGGAAACAAGAAGACTAGCAATTCAAACTGAAGCTACAGCCCTCCTGTCTTTTCTCTCCAGGCCCAGCCTCACTGATACTTACTCCGCACATGAATCTGGGATTGGAGGCTCTGTTTTCTGACCCTGGGAGTCACCGTTTCTGCCTTGCACCAGTAAGACCCTGTGTCGTCACTCCACATGGCAGGAATCTGGAGCTCCGGGGAGCTGCTCCAGCCTGACCCCAGGACCTGGTTTTCTCTGAAGAAGCAGAACCGGAGCTGAACATACAGCCTCTGTGGAGAAAGCCGGGTCTCACATGTCAGGCTCACTGGACCCCCTTCGATGGGCTGGAAGTCACTGGCTGTCAGCACAGGATGTTGAAACAGCTCTAGAGAGAAGGATCACAACAGTCCCCAAAGTAGTGAGGTCTAAGGTTCCTGCTGAAAAGCCCCTGGTAAGAAGCAACTCCAGCAAACAAGACATTCAGAGCCAGACACCTCTTACCCATCATGGCTCCCTTGATGGTCAAACCACAGCGTCCCAGTCTATATTTGGCCCACGAGCGGCTTCCGCCTACCCAGTACCCACCCTGCCTTGCTGCCGCGGTACCCAGCCCATCCCAAAGAAGTGAGAGTTTTACCTTGGACTCTGATCTTTACTATGTTTGAACTTTTACCCGGGAACAACTTTCCTTTGGTCCTGCAGAAATAGTTACCACTGTCACTTAAAACTGCACTTTGGATATGGAAACTTGAGACTTCTTTGAAAACAGATAACTCTCTGTCATCCTTGTAGTAAGCCATCGTCTGGACGTTCCACTTCCATTCTACCTGGCATGTCAGAACTATGCTGTCTCCTTCAAAGACGGAAGAGGGCGCCAAAAGGGTCAGCTTGCCTGCAAGGGAAGGAGGGAGACTGGATTAGCCATTTCTGCAGAGAACCCAGATAGGCTTCGTTGGCAGTGAGGTGGTCCCAGGCATAGCCTCTACTTTTTTAGACAACGTAGAGGTTCCAACCCATGCCTTAATTACTGAGAGTTGCATCCCATGTTTCTTCAGGGGATATTATAGCTCGTGCTGCTAAAACAAAATGCCATAAACTGAGTGGCTTATTAATAACAGAGATTTATTTCTCACAGTTCTGGAGGTTGAAAGTCTGAGGTCAGGGTGCCAGCATTGTCGGGTTGGGGTGAGGGCCATCTTCCAGGCTGCAGACTGCCAACTTTTCGCTCTACCCTCACATGGTAGAAAAAGAACCAGCTAGCTCTCTGGACTCTTATAAAGGCATTAGTCCTATTCATGGTGGTTCCATCCTCATGATCTTATTACCTCCCAAAGGCCCCCCCTACAAATACCGTCACATCTGGATTAGAGTTTCAACATATGAATTTGAGGGAGATACAAACATTCAGTCTATTGCAGGGGTGTCAAAGTCATCTTGATTTTTTAATGTTCATGAAGGAGTGTTCTGATAAACATCTTCAGCTTTCTCCGTCAGTGACACCACACAGGGAAACCATTGTCCTCAGCGGGCGCTTTATTTTCTCACCCTCATGCCTTCATCCAGCCCTCAGAGCTCTACACTGTGTTATAAATTCAGGTCTCATCCCTTCTTCTTGCCTCATCGGATAAAACCATCAAGTGTCCTGGATTATTGGAAATAAGCCAGTTACTGGAATAAGATCCAGCATCTTTGATTCTCTACTTGAATTCTCTACTTGAATGCTTACAGAAAACATTTTTTCTCATCTATTCAATGAAGTAGAGATTATTTTTAATCCAAGACTCAGTCCCTAGAGACTGATCATATAAAGAAAAAAGCTATTGCCAAAGACAAATGTCCTCCCCAGAGGCTGCTTTCCTTATTTTGACCCCGTCGCTTCATTTATTTATGGTACCAGACTATGTTTTGTGTTTGTGACATCTTCATGATATTTTAGAATTATAGTAGAGGATTCTGACCACAAAATAAGGAATTAAGTTATATCTCAAATAAAAATCTTCTTATCGCTATTCAATTGTGTCATGACTGTCAGATGTGTAGAAGGAAGTAGAAGTCAATAAAATAAGAGATGTGATGACTCATAAAATGCTACTGCAGAGCTAGAGCCAAAAAGTCACAGGAGATTCGTGGAGTTTGGAAGTATCGTTTTTGGAAAAATGTATGGTTTGCTACTGGCTGTTCCAACAGAACTAGAATTACCTGTTGGACATTGGGGAACAATCTAATTTTTAAAATGAATTTAGAAGGGCAGAAAAGGTGTGTTGGAGAAACAACTAACTTCATTCAAGACTTGTGCCCTCCTTTGCAAATGGATACTAGATCTCATGGAAACTCCACTGTGGGACTTGGAAGGCTGTACACTGGTAGAGTCTTCCCCCACAAACAGAAGAGATTCCTGTAGAGAACGCCCCTGCTGATAGGAAGAGGAGTCGTGATTAGAGACGCTGTTGAAAACGGCAAGACAGGCAGTCTCACTGGCTCCAGCTACCGCTGACAACGTGAGACTTTGAGCTGGTCGTTAAGGATGATTCGTGTCCTCAAACTGCTTGGTAAGAGGCAGACTGCCCCAAGAGCAAGCCGGAGGATGGAAAGCAGTGAGGAGTGGATGATCCTGAGTCCCTAATAGCAGACCAGCAAGTGGGAGCAGCGGGGTGAGGTGACTTGCAGCTCCGAGAGGAATTGCTGCGGAGAGAGACTAAAGCTCAGAGGCCGGAAAGTAAAGATGCAGCCAGAGTCTCACCAGGGGATACTGATTGATTTCAGTGCTCAGAACATTGAACCTAGTGGTGAAAAGCCACATCACACTGCTTTGAATCTGAGTCTACTGTTGTTACTTGTGTGATACCAGACAAAGCACTTTACTCTTTGAACCTTGGTTTTGTAATAAACTATCCTATTTTTCTAAGGGAAAAAAAAGAAGTATTTTTACCTTTTTCCTTCCCCCACCTCCTACTTAGCTCTTTAGGAATGCAATTAGAATCTTTACCTCCTCTCCACAAGCCACTCCTTGCACTGAAAGCTTATCTATGTGTTTACTTAAAGGATCCAGAGACAGAAATTCGAAGCAAACCAGGTGCCTCCAGAACTCTCTCCCACCAGAAGATTGCCCCAGTTTACAACCTAGCTCTGCCCACATTGATGCCAGCCAGACAGATGCCATCCAAAGAAAGTCATGGAGACTTGCACCACTTTGCTCCCTCCCCTGCATGCTGTTCACACCAAATGCCCCTTTGAAAGCCCTTGCCTTCTGCCTCAGAAGCTGAAGTGGTACTTTCAAGGCAGGAGCCTGTACTGCTTCCCCTCAGCTAAGTTTTTGAATTAAAAAGTCATTGTCTTTCTTACAGATGTCTTCCTTGTTAATTGGTCTTTGCAAACAGTGGGCAGCTAGACCTGTGTTCGGTTACAGTTTCTCATCTGAGAAACGGAACAACAAAGAGCATTTGCCTCTCATCAGGCTGCCTTAAGGATTCTGTGAGAAGCACACAATGGTGCTGGCATTTACGGACCACTTGGCCACAAATCTTCGCAGCCTCAATGGGGGATGTCTTTGTGGCAGAGGCTAATGATGGCTGAGGAGGACTAAGAGGACATCATAACTGCACTTCAAGAGCAACCAAAATAATGGGTTTCAGGTCTGTGAGATGGGGTGGATTCAGGGATACTGAATAAATGAAGGTGATTTGAAGTCAAAACCCCTGAGAGTGATGTCCTACCTATGAGGTAGACAAGTTGGTCCACAGTTTCATATGAGGGAACCCAAAGAGTCAGAATAGGGTTTGTGTGAGCTTGTATCCACTTGCTTCCAGCATGGCAGTGACTGCTCCGATGCCAACTACCTGGCAGTTTGGAGGCCTCAGCAGAAGTGTGCTGGGTCCACACTGACTCTCATTGGGGTGCAACCTCAAGAGCTCTAATTTGCATGCACCATTAGTGGAGAGCAAGGAGTCAGAGGCCCTAGAAGGGAAGGGCAATAAGCCCTAATGCTGACTTGTTCATCCTCAGGGAGTTCCAAATCCTCCAGCAACTGGCTGAGAGTGGCTCTCCCTACAGAAGTGCCCAGTAGAATCTTCCTGACCCCAGAGAGCACAGAGGAGAACTGCATTGGAGGGACAATGGTAGGGGGCAGGGAGAAGGGTAGGTTGTGAACAGAAGTTCTTGGGAAAAGCAAATAAGTAGAAGCACAAAGATTTAACTCGGGGCAAGATGTACAGGACTGAATCATGTTTTTTCACAAGAATTTCACTGAAAATATCATTACAGCAAAAACCAAAAGGAAATGGTATTTCTCAGCAAAAAACAAAAGCAAATGGTATTTTTCAGAACCTTACATGAAAGGACAAGGTCCCAGGTGGTGAGTGCAGCGTATGGGTGGGGCTGAAAAGAGGAAATGGGGTAGAAGACCACGTTGAGGCAATGGATGGGGACAGAAAGACCTTTTCAGTTGCTATGCTGATTAGCATTTTCAAGCCTTGCAGGGGAGTGTAATTCTCAACGGACCAGAAGCTTTTCCCTGAAGACTGGGGTTCAGAGGCCAAGTGATGCCCAGCCTACAGGGCAGGTATATAAGCCATGATTTCAGTTTGGTCTTTCTGGCTATATAAGTCCTGCTCTTTCCAATACCTCATGCTGGACTAAATATCCTCTCACTCTTTTTAAAAAGAAAAGATCTCAAACTTGAGAAGACCATCTCAACTTTCTGAGAAGCTCTTGTGCAAGGAAAGGAAAGGTAAGAGAATGAAGTGGCTGTTGTCCTGTTCTCCGAATGGTTGTAGGTGATTCACTTCAGGGAGCCCGCCACCCGGGCATGATTCCACTAATGGTCAGAAACCTCCTGAGTATTGATTGAGGTCTCCTCTCATTTCTATCCAGACAGACAGTGGGGGGATGGGTATCACAGGGTGGAGCTCTGGGAACTTATGTGGGCAGAATGAATGCAAGAGACCAGACTTGTTCCTCAGCAAGCTCCACATAGGACCCCTGAAGTTCTCCCTGGCTGCTCTTGTTCTATTCAAGGTGAGGCTGGGATCTGCTTATCCCCACACTGTTCCTTAGAGCTCAAAGAGCCCCTTCCACTTGGTAGCCAACATTCAATAGACAAGGAAACAATTCTCCCTTACTTTAGATTTTGTCTTGGCTCATGTGAAGATTCTGTTTACAGAATAAAATATTTTTTCCCATTGACTTTCTTCACTAAGCACAGATTTAACTCAGAGTAAAATAAAATTAGCTTTATTCCTGTCTTTATGATTAGAACAGTAATACATGTATTTTTAAAAACTCTAAATACTAAATCTAGAGCAGGGGTTGGCAAATTACGGCCTGGGAGCTGGCCAACATTGTTTTGTTAAACAAAATGTATCGGAATGTAGCCATCCTCATTCATTTACGTATGGTCTTTCCTGCTACCGCAGTTAACAGCACACACCTGAAAAGCTTAGCCTCTTGACTCTCTTGCCTTTTACAAGAATAGCTTGCTGACTCCTGAGCTAGAGCTAGAGAAGCAATGAGGACACGTTTATTCTGACCCTGCAGAATTTTGTAGCTCTGACACTTTCCTCTATAAATAACTGTTTTCAGAGCTGTGAAAACATTCAGTGTTCAACCAGGCAGTATTGAGGCATTACAGTCCTATGGGCAGGAAAATAATTCTCTCCAAATTGTTCTCTCCAATCTGCACGCCTTCTTTGAGACATTACTGACCTTCAATACAGCCAGGCTTTTAAAGCAGAGGCAAGCATCTGGGACCTTGAGAAGGCTGGGTGGGACCTGGTCGTCCAGACATGCAAACGGTGGCAGAAACAGGTTGCGTGACCTCAGAACATGTCGGCCTGGAGGGCAGTAATGTTAGGACGTCTTCACAGGCTTTCCAGAGCCACCTTTACAGAACCCTGGGGTAGCTGGGTAACTGATACACCTGAGACCAAGAACAACAAAGACAAGGAGGACTCACCTGCCTGCTCATTGACTGCAGCTGTGAGGAGATCAAAAGCCAGAGATTAGCACACAGCATTTGCCCTCATAATTGATAAATTTATATTACTCTGGTAAATTGCTCAAAAACTTCTTTCCATTTTTTCTTTCTTTTCTGTTTCCCTAATCTCTCAAGATGTGTGCTCGAGGAGAGACTGAATTGTTAGTAAGGAGAGATTAGGGAAATAGATTGTTTAGTCACAAGGCGAGTTGCAAGCCCAACCCTTGACTAAAGGGATTGTCGGAGAATACCCACATTGGATATTTAGTGACTCTCCTTGATTTCATTTTTCTTCTGCCATCCCCCACAAGTCTATCTCACACTCAGACTTTTCAAGTGGTAAACAGGCATGACAACATGATCATAAAGGGCTCATCAGGAAACGTACATCATGAGAGTTCAAAGAAATCAATAAATCAGTCTTTTTCCTGTGGCCATATTTTATGTTAGAGCCCTTTTATTCCAATAATAAATACTTATTTAGTGCCTACACAGCATAGACAGAGGAATCACATTTTTTTTTTTTTTTTTTTTTTTTTGAGATGGAGTCTCACTCTGTCACCCAGGCTGGAATGCAATGGTGTGATCTTGGCTCACTGCAATATCCACCTCCTGTGTTCAAGGGATTCTCCTGCCTCAGCCTCCCAAGTAGCTGGGATTATAGGCACCTGCCACCACACCCAGCTTATTTTTGTATTTTAGTAGAGACGAGATTTCACCATGTTGACCAGACTGGCCTCAAACTCCTAACATCAGGAGACCCACCCACCTCGGCCTCCCAAAGTGCTGGGATTACAGGCGTGAGCCACCGCGCCTAGCCAGGAATCTTATTTTCTAGCAGCAGCTGTCATCGCCCTCACTGTCCACGATTAAACAGAAGAACATTAGCAAAGGGTCTCAATGCATCTGCTGAACCCAAATCTTATAGATAACAATTAAATACTTGGTGTTCATGGAGGAGAAGGGCAGTGCTAAATGCTAATATTATGAACATTTTACTATGAGAACATATTATTCAATGAGATCTAAGACATTAAAATAGCAATTAATGACCAGCAAATGGCAAAGTGTTCTACCTTGAACGCTAAGCATTGTGCTTAATGATTAATGGATGTGCAGCAATTTCATTGTCCTCAGCCTACTTCTTTGCATCTGCCACTGAAGCCCAAGCTGGAGGAAGGACCTGAGCACCCCCACCATTCCCTGGGTCCGATAAAGCCTCCAACCTTTTGGGAGCTGTAGACCTCATTCTGCTGCCACCTCAGTTCTCAGCCAAATTATTGAACTCACCAAAGATGACCAGCAATGACCACAGCAGCATGAGGACCTGATCCAGCTATTTGAAAAGAGATGTACTCTTGGCCACCAACTGGAGCCTCTGAGCGGGGGATGAAATGTGGCTTTCAGAATAGGTTTTGTATAATTAGCAAAAAAGGAAGTAGAAGAGTGCCACAATGTTTGACCATTATCCTTTGTCCTGTAAAGGCTAAAACAATTATAGCTGATTTTTTCAGTGCCAGAGAAATTCCATACCCTGACACTCATGATGAGAGCAAACATTTACATATGGGTTGTAATGAGTCAGACAGAATTCTAAGTGCCTCGTGCTTGCAAAGTTATTACCTTCAGCGAGTTTCTGAAGTTGGCACTATCTCCTTTCATGTGATTGAGGAAATTGAGGCACTAGTAAAGAAAACTGTCTTAACCTATTAGGGCTGCTATAAAGAATACCTTAGACTGAGTAATTTATAAAAAACACAAATTTATCAGTTGTAGTTCAAGAGGCTGGGAAGTTTAAGATCAAGGCACCAGTAGATTTCGTGTCTGATGAGGGCCTTGTTTCTCATAGACGGTGTCTTCTATGTGTCTTGACATGATGGAAGAGGCAAACAAACTCCCTCAAGATTCTTTTACAAGGAGACTAATCCCTTTCATAAGAATTCCACCCTCATGACCCCAAAGGGATCCACCTTTTGTTAATGGGTTAATGAAATTCACTACTGATTAATGAAATCAAGGAGAGTCACTAAATATCCAACATGGGTATTCTTGACAATCCCTTTAGTCAAGTGTTGGGTTTGCAACTTGCCTTGTGACTATACAATGAATGACAGCTCGAGGGAGACTAAATTGTTAGTAATGAGAGATAAAATAAATAAAAGGTATCCACCTTTTATTCTTATTGTATTAAGTATCAAGATAAGGATTTTTCCAGGACACAAACATTCAGACCATAGCAGCAAGTAAAATGATCAAGATCAGCATAGTCAATTTCCAGTAGTAAAAGAGCTGAGATTCAAACCCAGGGAGCCCAGTTCCAGAGTCTGGCTCTTAAACATTGTGCCGTATTATCTTGATACATTGTTTCTGAATGTCCTTAAAATAATAAGGCCGTTGTTTCAATAGCTCCTATTTCTTAAGTAAAATTTTCTTTAGTCAGTCGCTTTCTAGAGTGATATTTTACTAAACCTTAAAACACTTGCTGCATATTACTGAAAACATTGCCATTTTTCCTTTTGTACCCCAGACTGATCCTAATATAGTTAACCCACACAAATCAAAGCATGCATCATGTGAACACCTTTTATCACGCTCACTTTGATCAGATATAGTCCCGGTGGATGTTGTCTCATAAATGAACTTTATGCAGGATGAAACTCTAAACCACAAAATCATAGGTCCTTTTAAACTGGGCACTATCTGAAAATAAAGTATTCATAGACTCTGTGTAACCTGTTCAGGTACTTACATTTACCTGAATACTTAACATTGAATTTTTAACAACTGAATACTTAACATTTTATTCTCACTATTATCATAGTTTTAGTTTGAGAAATGCTTATATTTATATGGGATGGTCATTAAAGCCTTGCTTATAAGAATATAAAAAGAAAATACAAAATATCTCACAAGGAGAGATGAGTGTTAAAAATAAGTTATGTGTCAAAATGATATGGAAAACCAAACAGCCATTAAAATAATTCTGTAGAAGAATATTTAATAGCAAGATAAGATGTCTAGGATATACGGTTAAGAAAAAAGTGGCTTCAGAGTGCATTTTATCTGCTGCACATCACCCCCCGGCTCACCAGTTAAAAAGTGTCTGAGATAATCAGCACCACAGAGTTAGTGTAATTACATCCGAAAAATCTAATTAAAGCCGAGTTTTATTTTCCTCATTTTGCTTATCTGTGTTTTCTACTATTCTTACAATAAACATATGCTATTTATGTACTTTTTAAAGACTCACATAAAACAAAACCTAGGTTTTATGGCCTCTCTCATTTTCAAGTGTTGAAAACAATACTTCTTTAACTTCCTGCATAGGCAAATGGTCTGTATGTGTCTGAAAGAGAAAGTTGTTCTCTCCCAGGACCAAAGCTAGTCACTGCTCTTATCATAAAGTCTTGCCTACCGGATGGGTTTCTAGGTGGCCTGTAATTCCTCCCCGTTCTGACCAACCTGGAAGGTATAGAAATTTTGTGGGTGGGAGGGAATTAAGGAAAGGAGTAAAGAAAGGATCATGAAAAAGTTGGTGGAGGATGGGTGGTGGGTACAGGTTTTTTTCATAGACATCAAGGAGATTTTTCAAAATATCTGTATCCCTTCACTGATTTCTATATACCCTCTATGGAAATGTGGCCTCTTCAGTTAAAAAAAAATCAATATTTCTTAAGGTCTTAGCAAATGGTATGAGGTAAAATTCACAGTTGGTATAAAACGTACAGCTGGAAAGCAGCGGAAATGAGGCGGGTGGGTCACAGAGGTGGCAATAAATCCTCTAAGAGGATTAACACGTTCCATGTGGGTGCTACTCTGTACCTGACAGGCAGCAGTAATTTACCTGTGAATAGGCATATCCTGGAAGCCTACCTAAGCTTGAATGCACGTCAGGGACCATGGCCAGAGATTAAGAGGATTAGCAGATATTTGGCGCGGGGTAGGAAGCAACTTAAAAATTAAGGTAATAGTGGCAGGAATAAAATTGTGTGTTTGTAGGTTTGATCAAAGTGAGAGAAAACAACACTCTTTGTGCAAGGATATTTTGCCACCAACAGGATGGAGTCACAGGTATCAGAAAGAAGCAGCATTGGACATAGGTATAAACGCCTCTTAGATCAACCAGGTGAACCCTTAACATGGAGATTTCACAGGTGCTAACATACTGAAGCCTATTCTGCCATATGCAAAGCAACAGTCATCTCTGTGAACCGTGTTCAATGTCTTGCATGGAACATAAAGTACGGTGCCAAGTTAGGGCATGCCAGACTGAGACAGAGACAAATAGAGTCTTCATGAAACATGTCAGAATAAAACAAATCACACCTCCTACATGATGAAGTTGATTACTAGGACAGTTAGCATGGAAAAATAAAAAATGAAGCAGATTAACTTCCAAGATCCCTAGATATCATCTTTTGAGCTTGGGGTTCCAAAGTCACTATGAGACAATTAAATGTCATAATATATGTGAATTACTTATTATAGTAATTGCTGCATAAATGGCAGTAGAAGTAGTCACAGTCATGGTCATCATCATTGCTATGGCAGTAGTGGTAGTAGAAGTTTAAATAATTACTGTAGTTACCTTGAACAGCATGATATGTCTTTGTTGGGTGGGGCTTTCCCTAATAATGTCCTGTCCAAGGTAGTAACTAGATACTTTCAGAGTTCTATAGAGGTGACGCTGTTTGTTGAAGAACTTGCTAGCAGAACAGGCTAGCAGAAATCCAAATATTGTCTGTGCAGACACTCTCCAACGTAATTTAGACAAAGCCAGGCCCTTCTGTCCAGAAGAATTTTTACAATGAAATTTATTATTTCTAGAAGTCCACTAGGGCTCTACATGGACCAAATAGCATGACGGAGAATTCAGACAGGGTGTGAATGCTTGGAAGCTAGAGTTTATTAACTCCCTGGAAGATTTGAAAATAACAACACCCCAGAGTCAGAGAAAGCAAGAGTAAGTTGTAGTTTTAGATACTGATATCTCTAGGGGACTGGAGTTTTACAAAGTTCATTTTTTTCTTCTTCATGAAGAGTATCAGTTCCTTTCGTAGCAATAGAAGCTACGGTAAATCCTTACTAAAGAAGATATACCGGCCGGGCGTGGTGGCTCAAGCCTCTAATCCCAGCACTTTGGGAGGCCGAGGTGGGTGGATCACGAGGGCAAGAGATCGAGACCATCCTGGTCAACATGGTGAAACCCCGTCTCTACTAAAAATACAAAAAATTAGCTGGGCATGGTGGGGCGAGCTTGTAATCCCAGCTACTCAGGAGGCTGAGGCAGGAGAATTGCCTGAACCCAGGAGGCGGAGGTTGCGGTGAGCCGAGATCGTGCCATTGCACTCCAGCCTGGGTAACATGAGTGAAACTCCGTCTCAAAAAAAAAAAAAAAAAAAAAGAAGATATACCTATTCCTTCCTATAGTGTAAGTGGAGGAGAACCCAGCCTTGGTGTCTAAGGGAAGGCAGAGACACAGGGATACTTAAGGAGGCTCTTGGAAGACATCAGAGCAGCATCTGTGATGGGGAGCGGTCTTCTCTCTGAGTGTGAAAATACCTCCTGGCAGGTGGCCTGGGCCTCCTGAGAACAGCAAGTGGGAAGGGATGCCTAGGGGTCAAAGACAATTCAGTTCGAACCTTTCTACTTTCTGTTTTAATTGTATAAGTGCGAGTTTTTCAGATGGTGGATGGGTTATGACTTTTCAGGCAAGAAGACAAAGGGGAGCTGTGAACCATGGGTCATCGACTGCACCAACCCTTAATAGAGAACCCAGAGCAGCTTCCTGTGAGTGTCTTTCTGGCAGGCTGGTGAGCATCAGTTCTGTTGCAGTAGAAGAAAAAAGCAAGAACCAAGATTCAGATTACACTGATGGCTTTCCATCGTTTTACCACTTTTTTTTTTTTTTGCTCACTTTTCTAACACACTCTGCTAATAACTTTTTCACAATTCATAAAGGTATGATTCCTAAGCATAATCATCATTCATTCATTCATGCATGCATCCATACATTCAGTTACTCAGTAGAGTTTTATTCAATGTCCCCTACTTTATGGGCAATATACTTGGCACTAGATGTGCACAGATAAAAAGATATGGTCTCTACACTTAAGGAAATCACATTCTAGCATCAGAAGACTGACAGAGAAGAGTAAACATACTTGTGTCTCACATGCTGTGGTGGAGCTCCGTACAGCATGTGAGTGGGTGCAGTGGAGATTAAGGAGTAAATGAATATTGAGAGAGAGATTTTAATCAAACAAATTAAGACTTGGGAGGATGGAGAAGTTCTAGGCCTAGAAAGCAGCATGGTAAGAGGGCAGGGACCCTTTCGGGCTGCTCAGGTATCCACAGGCACTTTAGAATGGCAGATGCAAAGGTACCAGCAGGCGCATCACAAGAGGTAAGACCCAAAGGTAGGAAGGTGGGAAAACCCTTGTATTTTCATAGGGTGGAAGACACATTCACTCCATTCCCAGGAAAGAGCACCATTAGATAAAATTTGTTTGGTCCTTTTACCAATGCCCCTTTATTCCTGCTATTTGTTCCTCTGCATGGGAAGAGAGGCTCATCTGATTGGTGAGTTGAGTTGAAGATGTCAGCTCATGACCTCTTGTTCCCTCTCTTCTCTTGTCCTCAAGCAGAAAATAATCTCTTCCTGCTCATGTTTCCATGTGTAATTATCTCAATGAGTTGTCACAGAAGCCAGGGTCCTCTGCTGGCTGAACACAACTCTCAGTAAGTCCCAAAGTCTATTGACAGAAAAGTAGAGAAAACCTCCATTTGGTTCAAATATAAGTCCCATGATCTAGTCTAGTATGGTCATTATTAGAGCTGATATTTTCTCTTCAATCTGACTTTATTTGCCAGCTTAGTTCCAAGCCTGTAGACGACACATAAGGTGAGTAGCACCCATAAACTCCTAAATATTTCAGGACTCATGAGGGCATTTCAACCACGATCAGAACATAATCATTTTGGATTTGAATAGCAGGGTTTATGTGGACTGAACAGAATAAAACTAAAGATAAAGAGAAGAAATGTATGGCCAGTGATAGAGTCCAGTATGGAAAAGATGAAGGCTTGAACTAAGGTGGTACTCATGAAGAGAAGGAGATAAATTTTGCCAGAGTCAAAATCTGCAGAGCTTGGTGACTGGTTACATGTGGGTGTGAGAGTAGAGCCAGAATCCAGGCAGATACCTAGGTTCCTGGACCTTGTTTTTACTGAGTTACAAATCTGCTTTAATTTTATTTGAGGCAGCCTGCTCTACTTCGCTGGATTGAAATCTTTTTTCCCTCTCATAATCCTTTAACCCCAAGATTCCTCTTAGAAGCTATCCCATACTTCCTGTGACCAAGCTAATCGCAGTCTCATTACATAAATTTTGCAGGGTTCTTCCAGAATGGTTGCTTCCTCATATTTTGTCTCAGCTTTAGACTCCTTTCTTCTTTCTTCTCTCTTTAAGCATCCTACTCAAAGTTAGCATTGTCATTTCCTGAATGCCGTAGTGGCAGATTTATCTATGTCTCACAGGAAACTTACACACCTCATGACAAGAAACCACCACTATTGACCCATCCAGGAAGACCAGTCATAAGAAGGTATATGGCAAAGCTATAAATGGCCTACTGGTTAAGAAATCCAGAGCTGAGACAAGGATAAGGCAAAGGGTGGGATTGGTTCTAGAGCTGCCTTCTAACAATTTCTGTGTCTGTGCATAACTAAAATTAGAATTTCCTTCCAATGTTTCTCAAGTAATTAATTTTTTTTTACTTTTATGTGGCATCACATTCATAAGAAACTATAAAGAAAAAATGTTTTAAGATATAATTGTGGGATTGGTGGACACGATATTGGGAGAATGAAAAAGGTGTTGGTTGTAAGGGAAAGATTATTATAGACAAATAGACCTTCACAAATGCAGAGAAAATTAAGGGTCATCAATATTATCAGAAAGTCTCTGACTCCAGCCAATTGGATCATCAATTACTTATAATGGAAGGCATGAGCCAAGATGGCAAACTAAGCACTGGTATTTAAATCTTCTTACTTTCAAAGTCTCAGATGATGAAAAAATTCAAAATCAAAATAAAATCATACCACTACTGGGAAAACAAGAAGTGGAGAATACCAGTTCTGGCAGGTTGGGGTAGACTAAAGCACCCGAAAATTCTCCCACTCTAAATTTTCCCATTTAAATGCTTATAAGTGATGAACAAATATTACATAATTTTTAAAAACATAACTGCATATGTAAGAAAGAAGAGAAATTCCCCCATTGCAGATAAAAGAGGAAGTGAAAGCAGAGTGTTATAACATGTAAATTGGCATTACTGTTCCCCTGGGGGGAATAAAGGGGAAATTAAACACTAGATACTTTTTTCTTTTGAGACAGTCTCGCTCTGTCACCCAGGCTAGAGTGCAGTGGCACAATCTCAGCTTACGGCAACCTCTGCCTCTTGGGTTCAAGCAATTCTCCTGCCTCAGCCTCCTCAGTAGCTGGGATTACAGGCACCAGCCACCACGCCTGGCTAATTTTTGTATTTTAGTAGAGACAGGGTTTCATCATGTTGGCCAGGCTGGTCTCAAACTCCTGACCTCAAGTGATCCGCCTGCCTTGGCCTTCCAAAATGCTGGGATTACAGATGTGAGTCATCACGCCCAGCTAACACTAGATACTTTTTATGAGCTTAGTGTTTAAAGTCCATGTGGAACTAGGAAACAAAACTTTAAGCCTGCAAAAGGCAGAAACATGAAACTAAAGCACCAGCATAAAGTGTGGACCCTCAAAAGACTTCCTTTTAATAAATGAGTGGCAGGTGGGGGAAAAAAATCCACCCATCAGATGGATGATAAGCAAGATTGTTTTTGTATGAGTTCCAGGAAAATCAGAAAATTTCCTCTGAAATAACAAAACCCCAGGACCATGCCACATTAATATGTGTGCTCCAGGAAAGCCCAGATAAGGAATTACCATAAAAACTGTTCCTAAGCCAGTGAAACAAATGCAAAATGGATTTTCAAGGACATAGCAAAAGCCCAGGCCACGATGGCATTAGCAAGATGGTTAACTAGAAGATATTAGCCTTCATCCTCCCACTCACACACAAAAAAGATAGTTATCTATGAATGATAATAGCCTTGGGAGGGCTCTGGGGTTCATTTAAGAATTTGCAGCAACACATTAGGGGAAAAAATGAAGAATGACTACATAGAAATAATTTCTGGGGAGACTTGTGTATCTGAGACATCTGGAGATGGCTAGAAACAAAGAAGAAGGCCAGGAGCTATGTAGATCAGCCATGCAGCAGGTGCCATTCACAGTCCCCAGTGGCCTGTTCTGAAGGGAACATGGGCATCATGCACCACTGCAGCAACCAACAGCCATCCCTGCTGCAGACTCCAAAAGAAGAGAAGCTGCTGCATGCCACCTTGCAGACCATGATTAATGCAGCAGTAAGGATGCCTGTGCCCTGAACACACTATGCCAAACTCACGCAGTGGTTCCTCCACATGTGACCATGCTTCAGACCCCAACTCTGTGCCTGTTTTCCATGGATACTACACGTCACACACTGGTGCCACTACCACCGCAAGCATGCCCTCAAGCTGAACGTGTCCTAAAAAGAGATCCTCTTGGCCATGACTTCCCCAGTGGAAGAAAAAGAGATTGGAAGAATCATAATGGCCTTCACCACTGAAGATCCTAACAGCTGTCACCATTGCTGAGGATACCCACAGCCTTGGCCGCTGAGAACACCTGCAATCTTTGTCAATACTGATCTCAGCTGACAGAGCTGCCCGGAGACTAAAGGTCTGCAACCTCACGGGTACTAGAACTGCTGCACTCCTTCACTCTCAGCTGGTACCTTTAGTTCCATCTAAAAGCCAAGATTTTTCCCTGCTAAAATCAGTCTATAAAGTCTAGAAGAGACGACTGCTCCATCAATGTTTGGAGACATCAAAGAAAAGCAACACGAAAAAACAAGGAAACAAAATACCACTAAAAATTGCATGCCTGTAATCCCAGCTACACAGGAAGCTGAGGCTGGAGAATCACTTGAACCCAGGAGGCAGAGGTTGCAGTGAGCCGAGATTCCACCACTGCACTCCAGCCTGGGCAATGGAATGATACTCTGTCTCAAGAAAAAAATGATTTTTCAGTAACTGACACCAAAGAAATTGAATTCTAAATTTTCCTGACAAATACTTCAAAATAATTGTTTGGAGGAAGCTCAGTAAACTACAAGGGAACACCCAAACAATTTAACAAAATTAGGAAAATAAGACATGAACAAAATGGAAAATTTAGCAGAGAGATTAAAATTATTTTTTAAAAGATAAATTCTAAAGGTGAAGAATATGATGAATAAAATGAAAAGGGACAATAGAAACATTGATAGCAGAACTGAGAAGCAGAAGAATTTGTGAATTTGAAGACAGGTTATTTAAAAATATCCAGGCAGAGGATAAGGAAGAATGAAAGAAAATGAGGAAAATTTTCTGTGGAATTTATGGAGCAGCATCAAGGGAGCTAACATTTGCACTGTAGGAAATTAATAAAGAGAAGATATCAAGAAAAGGACCAAAAGTTTGTTTGATGAAATAATGTCTGGAAACTTTCCAAATCTAGGAAAAGAGATAGACATACAGATGCAGAAAGCTCAAATATCTCCAATCATATTCAATCCAAAGAAAGCTACACCAAGACATTTTATAATCAAACTGTTAATAATCAAAGACAAAAGAATCTGAAAGCAGCAGGTGAAAAGAAGGTCCTATTATAAGGGGATCCCTAAAAGGCTATGAGTGGATTTCTCAGCAGTAACTCTGCAGGCCAGGAGACAGTGGGATGTTATATTCAAAGTGCTGAAAGAAAAAAAAAATGTCAAAGGGAGGTCAAGGCTGGAGGATCACCTGAGGTCAGGAGTTCAAGACCAGCCTGACTAAAATGGTGAAACCTCATCTCTAGTAAAAATACAAAAATTAGCTGAGTGTGGTGGCGATGCCTGTAATCCCAGCTACTCAGGAGGCTGAGGCAGGAGAATCACTTGAACCCAGGAGGCGAAGGTTGCAGTGAACCAAGATTGTGCCACTGCACTCCAGCCTGGGTGACAAGAAGAAAACTCTGTCTCAAAAACAAAAAGGAAAAATATCTGACCAAAAATACTTTATGCAGCAAAGCCATCCATTAGAAATGAAAGAAACACTTTCCCAGATGTCCAAAGGCTGAGAGAGTTTACCATCACTACATCTACCTTATAAAAAATGTTTACTGGAGTTCTTCAACCTGAAAGAAGGGACGGTAATTGATAATATGAAAATATGTAAAGTAGAAAACTCACTGGTATGCATTAGTACATAGACAATTTCAGAATATTCTAGTACTGTAATGGTGGTGTGGAAATCATTTATATCTCTAGTATAAAGGTTAAAATGCAGAAGTACTAAAAATAATTATAGCTACAACAATTTGTTAATGGATACACAACATAAAAGAATGTACATGTGACATCAAAAATATAAAATGTGTGTGGAGGTAAAAAGTATAACATTTTTGTATGCAATCCAAATGAAGTTGTTATCAGCTTTAATGGCTATAACTACAAGATGTTTTACATAAGTGTCGTGGTAACCACAAAGCAAAAACCTATCATTGATATATGAAAGATAAAGAGAGAAATCAAAGCATACCACGTACCACTACAGAAAATTATCAAATCACAAGGGAAGACAGGAGGAGAGGAAGAAAAGAACAAAGGATCTATAAAACAATCAGAAAACAATTTAACAAAAGACAATAGTAAGTCTTTACCTATCAACAACCTTGAATGTGAATTATTAAACTCTCCAATCAAAAGATATAAAATCTGATATAAAAAAAACAGAATAGTTTTTTTTAATGAAGTCTTGGTCTGTCGCCCAGGCTAGCGTGCAGTGGTACGATCTCTGCTCACTATGACCTCCACCTCCCCGGTTCAAGCAACTCTCCTCCCTCAGCCTCCTGAGTCACACACCGCCACACCCGGCTAATTTTTGCATTTTTAGTAGAGACGGGGTTTCACCACATTGGCCAAGATGTTCCTAATTTCCTGACCTCAGGTGGTCCGCCTGCCTTGGCCTCTCAAAATGCTAGGATTACAGGAGTGATCCATGCACTCAGCCAGATTTTTTTAGAAGACCAAACTATATGCTGCCTACAAGAAACTCACTTCACCTTTAAGGGTACACACAGACTGTAAGTGAAAAGATAGAGAAAGGAAGTCCATGCCAATAGAAACCAGAAGAGAGCAAGCAGAGCACACTTATGTCAGACAAAACAGACTTTCATTCAAAAACTGCAAAAGCAGGCAAAGAAGATTATTAATAATAAAAATGGGCCAATCATCAAGAAGATATAACAATTATAAATTTATAAGCACCCAATATCAGAGCACCTACATATATAAAGCAAATTGAATTGGTATGAAGGGAAAGATCAGCTGCGATATAATAATAGTCAAATTCTTGAGTACTCCACTTTTGACAATGAATGGATTGTCAAAATCAATACATTCCATAGGCTTTCTTTATCCCTTTTCATTGTTTTTGCTCCCCTGACTGCACGTTTCAAATAACCTGCCTTTGAATTCACAGATTCTTTCTTTAGCTTCTCATTTTTGCTGTTGACGCCTCTATATGCCTCAGACACAAAATCAGTAAAGAAACATCACATTTAAACTACACTTTAGACCAAATGGACCTAACAACCACCTACAGAACATTCCATTGAACAGTAGCAGAACAGATATTCTCCTCAAGTACACATGAATCATTCTTCAAGATAGATCATATGTTAGGTTACAAAATAATTATTAATAAATTTAAGAAGATTGAAATCATATCAAGTATGTTTTCCAACCACAATGTTATGAAATTAGAAATATGAACAGGAATATTGTAAAATTTATAAATATGTGAAAATCAAACAACACATGAACAATCAATGGTTTGAAGAATATGTCAAATAGAAAATTATCAAAATTTCAAGACAAACGAAAATGAAAATACATTCTAAAATTTATGACATGGAGCAAAAGCAGTTCTAAAAGGAAAATTTGTAGCAATAAATGCCTATGTTAAAAAATAAGAAATATCTCAAATAAACAACCTAACATAATGCCTCAAGAAACTCAACAAAGAAAAACCAATTAGGCCAGAAATTAGTAGAAGTAGGAAAATAACAAAGGTTAGAGCAGAAATACATAAAATAGAGACTAGAAAAAACGATAGAAAACATCAATGAAACTAATGGTTGGCTTTTGAAAAGATAAACAAAATTGACAAACTTTTAGCTAGACAAACTTATAAAAAGACCCTGTCTCAAATAAAAAATAAAATAAAATACAGACTTCAAACCATATTACTACAATTTCAAAAATTATGTGACTCAAAGAAGACACACTGTATTCATAAAACGTTTAGAGGCTGTAATAGATAATTTTGGATGCAGTATAGGTTGGCCTATATATACAAAATAGGTCAAATTAAGTGTAATCACAATAACTTTTTATGTACCTTTGTTTTAAATATAAATTGGTAACAATGACTCAAAATAAATAGAGTCCTATTTTAGATGGAAACACGACAATCCATGTAAGTGGCAGGGCTGGAGTTCTGTGTTGCCTGGGCAGAGAAAGCGCTTAGACCTAATGATGGGCACAGCTCTCTACTGAGGAGTCCTGCAGAATCACGAACCTTGAGTTCATGTGCTCTAAGCTTCACTGTGCCTCCACCCCAAGATCCCAATTTCTTTTATTCCATCTTGTTTAGTCTTGTAAACAGAGAAGCATAATTTGACCTGTTCTCAAAGGAGGCAGCAGGAATCTGGTTCTGATAACAAAGTTCCCGTTGGAGAATGGCACCCGGAAGAGATATACCAGAAAGCTGATGCTCCAGGATCGCTGAAGAACATATCAGGTCTGAGGCTTGGTGTCATGGATGGTTTTCAAAGAGCAGAATTTTCCATAACCTTACACAGCGTCTTCATAGTCCACATCTGTAATGCTTGCTTTCCTCGGCCTGGCATAGATGTCTATGGAAACCTGGAAGCAAAGGTTAGGACTGAACAGGAAGTCAAGGAAAACATGCCTCCACTGGTCCTCTTCCCCAGTCAGTTTGATGCATCTTATCATGGCACACCACACAACACAAAAATCAGGGCCTCTTGAAAAAGTGTGGTCCAAGGCCAGCATTTTCAGAGTGCCTGTATCCCACTGGTGGACTAAAAAGATGCTCCTGACAAGCGGCAAACTGATGCAAACATACAACGCCTTCCCGCATTCTTTTTTTTTTTTGAGACGGAGTTTCGCTCTTGTTACCCAGGCTGGAGTGCAGTGGCACGATCTTGGCTCACCGCAACCTCCACCTCCTGGGTTCAAGCAATTCTCCTGCCTCAGCCTCCCGAGTAGCTGGGACTACAGGCGGCGCCACCGTGCCCAGCTAATTTTTGTATTTTTAGTGGAGACAGGGTTTCACCATGTTGACCAGGATGGTCTCGATCTCTTGACCTCATGATACACCCACCTCGGCCTCCCAAAGTGCTGGAATTGTAGGCGTGAGCCACCACGCCCAGCCCCTTCCCTCATTCTTATGGGCCATTATTAGGGAGGCCCATGGGCTGTCATTTTTTAAAAGGTTGCCAGATTTTGTGTTCATAAACTAAATTTGGCATGTCACTGGAGTTTGCCAAGGATTTGAATTTTGTCCTGAGATGCTTGGCTGCCACACTGCACTAGATAAAACTGCAAAGCACCTACTACCTTTGCATACATGCACAGAGTTGGAATTTCTGCAGTTTTCAGAGAGTATTTTTGTATCATTGGTGATATCTTGGATTATTCCAAGTTAACCAATTACTGATTTTTAATGACACAAATTACTATTAGCTTAGCTTTGTTCAATATTAATTTAGTTGCTGTGGATTGTTTGGCTAACCTTATAAAGTGATGGATGTACGTACGGCTCAACAATATTTTAGGATAAAGATTTTCAAAGATATAGAATTTTTAGACTAGGTATGCACTGCAGTTTAACTAAAAATCATTCATGTGTCCATTGCTAAAGTAAATATGTTTGTAAGCCTCCAAAATTTCCTTGTACAATGACACCTTATTGTTGTAATTACATGTTTTTACCTCCATTGCGTTGGGAGGTAGGAAAGAGGTAGATCATGGGATTTTTGCTCTTTCTAAGTGGCTATAATTTAAGAAGTTTGAGAGCCAGGTCCCAGAGGAAAGAAAGAACATGGAGAAGAGAAAACAAAGACTCTTACCTTGTCCTCCCTATGTGCCCCTGGGGTTTCTGCTGTAGAGAGAAGGTAAGTGATGTGAGATTCCACTTATATTTAAAGTCCTTCACTAAACTCGTGTTAAGAAAAGCTTCTTTCTCTCCCATCTATTTCCCATGAGTTGATTTCCATTCATTTTTTCTGTCTTGCTTTTCTGTTTATCACAAATATGATTCCCTTAGTAGCCAGAGGAAAATTGGCAGCCTGGGGCTGGGGGGGGAGGGGGTAAGTGGGCCTCCTACGCCAGCTGTGATGGGGTTATGAGGAGTGTGTCACGCTTACTCAAAGAGGGAAGGCAGAAGCCATCACCTCTGATGCTGCCACATGATGAGGAGTAAGGCATAAAATGTAGGCCTTACGATGACACCTTATCGTAACTACATGTTTTTACCTTCAATGTGTTGGAAGCAGGGAAGAGGTAGACCATTGGATTTTTGCTCTTGCTAAGTGGTTGTAATTTAGGAATTTTGAGAGCCAGTCCCCAGAGAAAAGAAAGGACCTTAGCATCAGCTCTGGGCTCTACTCAAGGTAGCTCCAGACCAAAGGACAGCCTCCAAGTACACACAGTGATGCTCACAGCCTTCTGCTCTGAAGAATGCTGTTATCTGATATGCACAGCCTGATTGTTCTCTTTGTTCCAGGAAAGACAAAAGTCAGAGACAAATGTATTCCCCATGTCTCACCTGCTGCTGACTGCTGGTTATAGTACACCAATGAATAAACCTCGTCCCCACGTACAGCATTCGCTGCGAGAGAAGGAAGGAGACATCATGACACAGCCCCTGATTCCTGTCTTTCAAATTACTCCCTACCATCCACCAGTCACAGCCATGAAGACAGATGAGTCATTTGTTTGTAGCAGAGGCTGGGACACAGCAAAGTCAGGTTTGGCTAGCAGATGTTATCCCATTGTCCCTTCCCCAGCTTGCTCTACCAACTTTGGTGCGGGTCATTTGGGAAGGCTCACCATTTTCATATACAGGCTGTAGCTGCCCTGGGGTAGGTGAGTTTGAGTTGAGGCAGGTGAACTCTTGGGGTACAGGGCTGGGAAGACTCCTGCAAACACAGAGACACATGTTATTTATCTGAAATTGCATCCCAAATAATGCAGCTATTGCATTGAAGAAGAGAAGCCTGTAAGAAATGGTCCTGAGCAGAACACTAAATTATAGGGAAATGATCAGCTAGAAGGCACGGCAGGGTGGTATGAGCCCTGGCCCTGTGCACAGGCTGAGTGGGGCACTGCAGAGCAGGTACCAGAGGGTAACTCCATGGGTGTAAGGTTCTCTTCTGACTGGCTCACTGTGGTACTGCCCATTCCCAGAATAGTGTCATTCATATCATGAGTGCTCCCTAAATATTAAATGAATAAATATTGATTCATTCCAGGCAGAAAACACTTTGCTGAGCAGAACAAGGAACTTGAGGAAAGGGCAGAAGAAAATGGTTCTTCATGGGCAGATGCCAAAGAGTGCTACTCTGATTTGAAAAAAATGTCTGTTTATTGTTGGCGTAAATGATAATACATTATTTTTTAAAGTCAACTAAACATTGGTATCTCTAGATGGAAGTATTTTTAAAAAATATTTTCCTCCTCTAAACATCTAAAGAACTTCATGGATAACTGTTCAGTATGTTTATTCCTGTCCATCTTACATTCCAGAAATGTGCATGTATCTTACCTACCCTAAAATACTTTCAAACTCTCAAGAGCTTTTTATATTTCACACCTCTCAGCACTCAACAGAATGACTTACAGATCCTCAAATATTGGTTGATTGATTGAATTAATGCATGATCCTGCTGATAGCAATGTGATTTTATTCATTTATTTATTCATTCATTCGTTTATTATTTATTATTTCATTTATTATTAATTCATTCATTTATATTTATTTATTTGAGACGGAGTCTCGCTCTGTTGCCCAGGCTGAAGTGCAGTGGTGCCATCTCAGCTGACTGCAATCTCCGCCTCCCGAGTTCAGGCAATTCTCGACCCTCAGCCTCCTGAGTAGCTCGGAATACAGGTGCGCACCACCACAACTGGCTAATTTTTTGTATTTTAGTACAGACGGGGTTTCACCCTGTTGCCCGGGGTGGTTTGGATTCTGGAGCTCAGGCGATTCACTCGCTGTGGCCTCCCAAAATTCTGGGATTACAGGTGTGAGCCACCGTGCCTGGCTGCAATGTGATTTTAATATTCTGCAGGGGTGTGGAGGGGGATCAATAGGAAAAATAATGAAAAGATTTATCATTAATGTACGAAATCTAAAAGAAGGGAAGTGACAGTGAATTGTTCAAAGTTGCCAGTAGGAGAACTCAGGAGTGCACTTTGAGTATGATAAAATAGGAAAAAAAAAAAAAAAAGAAAGAAAGAAAGCTGAGGAGAGAACAAATCTAAATCTATTTTTAAAATCAATTTTTCTGCATTATTGGCACATATGAAGAAAACAGGCCTCACCTGAGTGGATCCCTGGCTGAACGTCTTCCTGCAAGACAAACAAATGAGCATACACATAAATGGAGGAACCTCACTGTCAGTGCTTTTGTATACCCTGTGCAGGGATGTCCCTCATGCTCAGATGCCCACTGTGGGTGCCACTGTGTGCCCAGAAGACATCCTGGCAATCATTTACAGAGCCTTCATTTCACAGACAGAAACTCAGGTCCTGAATCATTAAATGAGCTTCCCAAAGCCAATTAGTACCAGAGCTAGGACTTGAGAGCCAAGTCTCTGAACTCCTACATGTATTGTATGTTTTGGTTTTGTTTCACAACCACACCACAATCTTATTGTGACATAAGTTCTTGGAGGCAGGTGCTGCCACAATCATGCTATAGATGGCGTGAGGTACCGAAAGATGTCAGAAAAGCTTGGAATTGAAATGGGAATCGTAGTGTCCTCTCTTGCCTTGTCTCCAACTTCCTCAGTGAACGGGAGACCAAGGTTAAATATATAAATAAATATATAATTACCAGTTGTGATAACGTGTGAATCTAACAACTTGAAACTCATAATAAGAGAGAACCGCTGTGGGCTGTGCAGGCCAGGTGAAGCCTCTTGGACAAAATGACATTTCAGAGGAAAAGTGAGAAAGTTCCAGCAGTAAGTAGAATGTGTAGATGTGTGAATGTGCATTTCAGAGAAGAAAAAGCATGTGACAATACTTGAAGGCGAATCAGAATTGATGCACTGACTTTAGTGCTGGGATAGCGTCAGGATAGCTGGAACTGCTGACTGTATTTCTCTTCTGTGGGCAATTATTTTGAGTAGTACATTTTTGTATAAAAATTAAATCCCAGAAGCACAAAATATCACTTGAACTTCAATTAATAGCACATGGGGGATGGAGAACGTTACAAAACTTTATACTATGTTAATAGGCACCATTCCTACCTGCTGGGGTTGTGGGCAGATTCACAGGCAAGGTGGCTAAGGGCATATACATCTTTTGCAGTATACATGTCACAATTTCAGCCTATTTCAGTGAAAACAAAGATCACAGTAACAAAATGCCACTCTCCTTAAATACTAACCTATTTTTCTTTTGAGGCCATAGCAAAATAATAAGGCCACGGTGACAGGTCCAAGGGTGCCAAGCAGCCCCTCAATGACTCTTGAGGTAATATGATTGCTTCTGTCTCCTGTGGGCACTAGAGGGAGAGACTTGTGCATGATCTGCTGGGAGGAAGGGCTTGGGGCTTAGAGAGCAGACATCTTGGGTGTGGGTTGTGCCCAAGGTCTGCTCTTCCAAGTGGGGACTTATTTATTTGTCTAGGGACTGGTGGGTTATCACATTTATGAAAAGAGAAGAGCAACACCCAAACTTAAGTTCTCCATGCCTCTCTGATACATCACTCATAACAGCACCTCACCCAGAAGCCCCACCTTTGGTAGCACACCCCCGGAAGCAAAACTCTCCCAGGATGCTGGGAAGGAGACATTGACCAAGACACTCCAGAGCCTGAGCTATACCTATGAAGTCGAGTGTCACTGCTTCACTGCGCTGGGCCCCCAGGCCATTCTTGGCCTCACAGGAGTAGTTTCCAGAATGTTCTGCAGTCAGGGAGAGGTTGAAGGAGACTCCTCCTCCAGAGGGGGCCGAGCTGCTCCCGAAGGTGACATCCTCATGATAAAACCAGTACAGGATTGGGGGAGAGCCTCTCTGGGCCTCACAGTGAAGCTCCAGCACATCCCCCACCACAGCCTCAGCTCTGGGAGCCCTGAGTGTGAGGATGGGGCGAGACACCGGAACTGAGGGAGACAGTAGACTGTAAGAGAAGGTCTCTGACAATGCAGCAAACTCTAAATCCCTGCCCACCGATGCTCAGCCCCACTGAACTTCCTCAGCATGCCCCAGGGAAACTTTGTGTACCCCAGGGAAGTATGGAACCCACTTTGAAACCAGCTGGCCGAACGGAGGGTAGTGGAACTTACTTCTGACAGTGATGCTCACCAGCCCACTGGGGCTGGGATCATAGCCATTTTCGGCTACACAGTAATATTGCTCAGCATCGCTCTCCCTCACTGTAGGGATCTCATACTCTGCTGTCAGTGAACGCTGGGTCTTTGTCTGAAGGTTTAAACCTGTGGCCCCTTTGTACCAAAGGAAGGTGATATTTCCTGTGCCCATAGCGACTGAGCAGATGAGGACCAGCCTGTCTCCCTCCATCACCTGTCCTCCTGGGGGCTGAGTCTCCAAGCTCACATCAGCGACAGGGATTCCTGTGAACACAAGATGACATAAGAAGACCCTGAGTAGGGAGAGTTTCAAAGATAGTAAGTAGATGTGACAGTCCTGAAAGCAAAGGCCATGAGTGAACTCAGTGATGTATATACCTTAATTTGGGTGAGGGGGGAAGGGGCCTGCTGATTGTTTGTGTTGATGCTGGTAGGATAAGAAAGACACCCTAGTGTTACCACAGAGGGTGTAGCATCACCTCTCTCCCTAGAACAATGTGACTTCCATGACCCTACTCCCTCAAACTTTCATTTTTTTCAAGGCACAATAGTATAGTGAAGTGATCATAAGTCCAAATTGTAAATCAAACTGCCTTATTTGAAGAGGGGTTCCAACTCTTTCACTTGCTGTGTGTGCTTGATCAAATTACTCAACTTCTCTGAGAAACAACTTCCCATCTGTATGTAAAGGAGAGCTGGTAATGATAGTTATCTCCTGCAGTTGGATGGTTCAATTACCCAATATCTGTGAAACACTAGGATAGGGCCTGCCATGTATAAACTAAACTGCTCAGTGACTATTGTGGTGGTGGTGGTGGTTCAGTTTCACCAGTATTGAGTTTTTAGCAATTGTGGGAGAGCACAGCCTTTTGGAGGTATTAGACATTTGCTTCACAGCACCATAGAATGGGAGAGGGTGTTGGAAATGTCAACATTGACGTGGAATAACACGATGAATTACGAAGCACTCTTTCCTATGTATTTTTTTTTAATCAAGCCCCAACTGCCCTTCCATAAGGCCGGCTCCAGTAACCTATTCTATACATTCCTTCCACAAAACCTTTCCGAGCACCTCAGTCCTATTTCTCCCTTCTCTGTAGCCTTTGTCAACAGCCAGACCTCCACAATGCAGCATCACATATTTCACCCTAGTTATTCGGAGTGCTGGCTGAGCATCCACTTCGTGTAGTCAGGCACCAAGTATTGTGCAGCTCTTCCCCCCACACCCTCCAGCACAGTGAAGACACACCATAAGGGTTTCCTAAGTACTCTCTGTTTGCCTGAATGGAAACAGAGTGAATAATGGAAGATCCCCTAAGGATCCTGAAAATAAGAGAAACTAAAAAATATCTTTCAAACAGTTCCTACTCTTGCAGAGGCAGAATACGTAACAGTGAGGATTAGCCTCTTGCCTCTGCCCTTCTCAGCCAGTCGGGGGCAGACTGACCCCACTGCCACTCACTTTGCACGTTTATCTGGGATATCGGGCTCCTCAGGACTTTGGATGGCATTGCCTGTGCCTGGCACCAGTAAGACCCTGAGTCTTCTTTCCACATGGCGGTGATCTCGAGCTTGGGGGAGCTGCTCCAGCCCTGGCCCAAGGCCCTGGAATCTCTGAAGAAGCAGAATTGGAACTGGGCATTTAATGTCTGTAGAGAGTGCATCTTACAGGTCAGGGTCACCGGGCTCCCCTCTGTGGGGCGGGAGGGGCTGGCTATCAGCAACAGCTCTAGAGAGAGGAATTAAACACAAATGTTTAATAGGGTTCAGAGTTTCTGGTAAGAGGCACTTTGTGTCTCAGCACTTGCAGACAAGACTCAAAGAAACAGTTGACACACAGGCCACCCAACATGCCTCCACCAGCCCCTGGTGGCCCATGGCTTTCCTATGCCATGAACTCACCCTGCTCACCCCTGGCACATCCTGCCCCTGTGCAGCATTATCTTTCAGAGGCAACCCTTACCTGTGACTTGGATCTTACTATTTTTTGAAGTTTCTGTTCATAAACTAAAAACACCTTTCTTGAAGCCAGCCTAGTAATATTGAAGACTGTCACTGGAGTTGGCACTGGAGATGGTGAAGCTTGATGTTTTATTCAAAGTGAGTATCTTTCTTTTATCCTTGTAAGCCACTTTCATTCTCATCCTCTGTTCCCTTTCCCCTGGCATCTCAGAACCACACTATCTTTTTCAAAAACAGAACATGGGACCTGCAGGGTCGATCTGTCCAGGAAAGACATAGAAGAATCCAATCCCCTCATTGCTGACTCTGTCCTGCCTCTATTGTTGCTATTTCTCTTTGAATAAATGGGGTGTATTTCCTTGGAAATACCCAGTACCCACCATCTACACAGCTCAGCTCCCTTGATCTGGGGCTTCTGTACAAACCTCTGCAGAAACTATGACCTAAGGAGCTAATTTAATTCATACCTTAAACCTCAGGGATGTGTCCCTTTGGAGTGTTAGGGGCTCTTTTCTTTTTCTTTTTTTCTCCTTTTTTCTTTTTTCAAGACAGGGTCATGTTCTGGCTCTCAGGCTACAGTTCAGAGATGCAATCTCAGCTCACTGCAATCTCAACCTCCTGGGCTCAAGCAATCATCTCACCTCAGCCTCTCAAGTAGCTGCAACTACAAACACATGCCACCAAGCCCAGCTAATTTTATTTATTGTTTTGTAGAGACAAGGTCTCATTATGTTGCTCAGGCTAGTCTCGAACTTCTGGGCTGAAATGATCCTACCACCTTTGCCTCCCAAAGTACTGAGTACAGGTGTGAGCCACTACTCCTGGCCTGGGACTCTTTTCTGGTGATAAAGATGGTTAAAGTTGTGCTCTTCTCTCTCTTCATCTCCGCAACTTGCAGTAGCCCATAAAAGTGTCACAATCCCTAATAGCTGTGGGCTGTTTGGGCATTTGTTTATTCAACTCTCAGAGCCTCTGCCCCTTGGAAAATGTTGGACTTTCCCTAAGACAAACCTCCCTTCTTCACCAGATGAAAATGACAAGTGTTTTGGATTACTGGGGGGTGATTCCTAGTTCAATATCTGTAATCTCTAAGCTTTTCTGCTGAGATGTGCTTTTTGAAAAAACCTTTTAAACATCAGTTTCATCCATATATTTTCTTTGTCCTGAGGCATAGAATATCTTAGAGTCACTGTCTTTTCTTGGAAAACTGTAGTACCCAGGAGACTGACCAGTAGCACAGCTCTTGGAGCTAAGCAGGACAATAAATGAAAAAGGCATTTAGGCCAGGCATGGTGGCTCATACCTGTAATCCCAGCACTTTGGGAGGTTGAGGTGGGTGGATCACCTGAGGTCAGGAGTTCAAGACCAGCCTGGCCAACATGGTGAAACCCCATCTGTACTAAAAATACAAAAATTAGCCAGGTGTGGTGACATGCATCTATAGTCCCAGCTACTTGGGAGGCTGAGGCAGAGGAATCACTTGAACCCAAGAGGCAGAGGTTGCGGTAAGCTGAGATCACACCACTGCACTCCAGCCTGGGTAACACAGTGAGACTCCGTCTCAAAAAAAAAGGGGTCAGGGGAGCATTTGGGCATCTGTAACCCACTTTTCTCAGTGGGGCTAGGGTGGTGATGAAGTAGGAAACCGGACAGGGCAGACTGCAAGGGTCTGGAGCTCAGTCTTACAGCTCAGAGCTTGTTTCAGATAATTCTCTGACAGCAGAGACCACCTGGAAAATACCTGGTGACAGAAACTTGGTTTCCTCATCTTTGATATGGCTTTGGATTTCTGCTTAGGCTGGGATTGGACACTTGAGTTACGGGTAAAGATGAGAGCAGACACAAGGCATGCATGGGATTAACACAAGTCATGAGTTAGGCTTGGGCAACCATTAGCTAAGGAACCTAGAAGGCTAGATTGACTCGGAATCTCTCTGGCAACAGGAATTCCTAGTCTTGTGTTCCCTAGTTGCACTTGCAGCCTATGTTCTTGGGGTAGCAAGGCAATCTCTTTTAACTCTGTGGCTAGTATGTAATGTACAAGATAGCAGTCCTCACATTTTTAACACTGAGCGTGACCTTGTGTAGAGTCCTTGGTGGGGAGAGGAATTCCCTACTCTCCCCCTCTGGTAAAAGTAAGACTTTGAATCAGGATCAGAGCAATGAAGTAAGTTTGCATAGACCAGAGTCCGAAAGAGAAAATGAGCTGGGGTAACACGTGTGGCTGCAGAGGAGGGTTAAAAAGAGGAAGGAGGTAGCAGTACTAATTTATTCCACACACGGCTGGAGGATTGACTCTAACGTTCTCCATGGATGCGGGATTTTGGCATTTCCTTCATCACCCCTGGTGACACACACAGCCTTGGAGCACAACTGGGAAGGGGAGCTCCTGAGGCTGGGAGGACAGAGATGCTTCTAGCATGAATCTTCAGCAGCCTTTGCCTTCCTCGAGTAAACAGCTGTGCTGGGACTTCCCGGAAATAAGACTGTGTTCTTGAGAAGGCCAGAGCGAGACCTGTTCACCCCACTGAGCAGACACGTGTCAGGTGCAGAGGCTGAGGTAAAGACAGAGCAGCCCAGGCCCAAGGGAGCCACTGATGTTTGTACACCTCAGCAGCTGTCACCCTGATACGTCTTGGGCAGGGAGGGGCTGCTAAGACAGGAATCCTCAGGCCTCTTGTGCTGACCTAAGTATCAAAATACCCACAGACCCTGAATAATAAAAGGAAGTGCAACTCACCAATGGCTTCACAGAGTGGAGCTAGGAGAGAATGCGGCAGAGATCAGTACAGAGCAGCAAACCCCACACATCTGCAAAGTCTAAGTTCTCTGAGAGATTCCCGACACCACACCCTCCATCCCTTGTGCCCTCCCTGCATCTCTCTCCTCCTCCCTCCTCCTCTCTCGCTTCTCCCCCTCCTTCTTTCATCTTCTCTTCCTCCCTCCTTATCCTACCCCCGCTTCTCTTCTTCTTGCCCTCTGCTCCTTTCCCCGCATTTCACGTCACTCACGGAGCACCTGCCCGCAGAACCACACGTGGATCTTTTCATGATCATAAGGTAATTGCCAGTGATTTTTGTTGGCTGTGATTAGGAGACGGCGTCTTTGCCAACTACCTAGCAGCTCCCTCTTCAAGCTCCTCCTTCCCACTCCCACCTCCTCCTCTCAAAAGTCTGGAGGATCCAGCTTTGGACTCGCTGTTTATGGGAACAAGAGTCAGGCAAGGAGAGTGCAAAGCCTCGGACTCAAGGCGTGGAGACTCTTTGTTTACCAATTTCAGATCAGAGGAGGCTTAGGTCCAGAAAAGAAATTCAGATTTCTCCAAAACCTCTTCTGTCCTGAGGAGTTGACCATAATATTATGGCTCAATGATCAAAACATAATAATTCTGGGGAAAATGCAGACTGTGTAGCTGGATGACACAGGTTTGAGGACTGGCTCTTCCTCTTTCAAGCTGTGTGACTGTGGGGGGAAATGTCTCACCTCTCTGTGCTTTAGTTTCCTTGTCTATAAAGTGCAGATAACAGTAATACTACCTCACGGAGTTTGTGTGAAGATTAAATAAATTCATATTCTTAAGGAACTTAGACTAGTACCTGGAATTTACTTATTCAGTAAACATTGTGTCATCATTATTACACACTTTATCCAAGCTCGGTTTGAGATACTTCTTAGATTAATGTTTCCTTGAAACATTAGTTCCTTGGGTAGGAGAAAAGTATCAATCGGAGATAGCATAAAATCCTATTTTATATATTTATCCATACAACAAATAATTTGAAGTGCTCACCGTATGCCAGACATGGAGTGGTGGGAGTGAACATGAATGACAATCTTTGATGTCGAGAAATGTATATTATAGTGGGAGAGAGTCAGTTTAAAAATAAGTATATAATATTTTTTTAGAGGGTGATTGGTGCTGTAAGAAAAGTAAAGCAGAGAAATAAGACACAGAACATTGTAAGATGGTCTTAACTGTTTAGATAGATTTAGACAGATTCAGTAAAAACCTAAATGAATCAGGAAACAAGTCTTCTGAATATTTGGGAAAGAGCATCCCTGGCAAAGGAAACAGCAAATGCAGGTATCCTGAGGATGAAATAAGCTCGTACAAGGACGAAAGAGAAGGCAAGGGCACCTGGAGCTGACCAGGTAGGGGGGCAGGTGTTAGTTACCAGTGCCTGAGAAATAGAAAAAATCCAGTCACAGGCACTTTACAGACTTGTCAACAGTTTTGGATTTCATTCTAGGTGTGATGGGGAGCTATGGACAGTTCTTACTTAATTTACAATATCACTCTGACACTGTGAGGAAGACAATATACAAGTGCAAGAAAGCAGGGAGAACATTAGTGGGAATTTAGTTTAGGAGAGATGGTGGCTCAGATTAGGCAGTGCTGGTGATAGGAAGTGGTCAGACGTTAGTATAAACTCTGAAAGCAGAATTCATAGGAATGGCTTATGATTAAATAGAAAGTTCAAAAGAAGAGAGAGGAGAATTATGTATGACTCCTAGATTTTTGGCCACAGCAACTGGAAGAATGGTAGTGACGTTCAGATAAGGCGTGGGGGGAAATAGGTTCAGTTTTGTGGAGGTGGTGTACGGCTGGAAGATCAAGAGATCTGTTTGAGTTTAAGATGCCTGTTAAACACCTGATGGCTTGTTAAGTCTGAGATGATTATTAAGATGTCTATTACACACCCGAATGCAGCTCAGTACATACAAGGTATTTAAAAGAGAGGTCAAAGCATTTAAGCTTACGATGCCGTATGAAGTGACATAATTATATAACTTGGGGAAGTGAGTATGGATGAAGTCTAGGCATCAACTTTGAGACGGTCCAATATTTTGAGGTCAGCAAGGAATCCAAGCCAGATGCAGTAGCTTATGACTGTAATTCCAACACTTTGAAAGACTGAGGAGGGAGGATTATTTGAGGCTAGAAGTTTGAGACCAGCAAAACAAAACTCTTTTTTTTTTTTTTTGAGACAGAGTTTCACTCTTTTCACTCAAGCTGGAGTGCAGTGGCACGATCTTGGCTTACTGCAACCTCCACCTCTCGGGTTTAAGCGATTCTTCTGCCTCAGCCTCCTAAGTAGCTGGGATTACAGGCATGTGTCATGACACCTGGCTAATTTTGCATTTTTTTTTTCTTTAGTAGAAACTGGGTTTCATCATGTTGGTCAGCCTGGTCTGAACTCCTGACCTCAGGTGATCCACGCACGTTGGCCTCCCAAAGTACTGGGATTACAGGCGTGAGCCACCGCATCTGGTCAGAAAATTGTTTTAATTAGCCAAGTATGGTTGCATGTGTCTCTGGTTCCAGCTACTCAGGAGGCGGAGGCAGGTGCATCACTTGAGACCAAGAATTGAAGGCTGCAATGAGCCGTGACCATAGCACTGCGCTTCAGCTGGGGCAACAGAGGAAGACCTTGACTCTAAAAAAATTAAATAATTTAGCCAAGAGACTGAAAAGCAGCAGATACTGAATTAGAAAGAAAACCAGCAGATACGATATTCCAGAAGCCAAGTGAAAAATGTTTCCAAAAAGAAGAGTGATCAAATGGCCCTGAGAAATTGAGTAAAATAAAAAATTAAAATTGACTCCTGGATGCAGCAACATGAAGATAGTTGATGCTTTTGCAAGAACAGTTTCAATGGAGTGGTAAGGATGAAAGATCGATTTAAGTGGGTTCCAGGAAGAATGAGGAAGAACTATAAGGACCTAGACCAGTTTACCAGGGATTAGGAATGGGGAAAGATTTGACTGACTATAAGGAATTTAAGGCACAAGGAATTTTTTTTTTTTAGATGGGGTCTCGCTCTGTCACCCAGGCTGGAATGCAGTGGTGCAATCTCGGCTCACTGCAACCTCCACCTCCCAGGTTCAAGCAATTCTCCTGCCTCAGTCTCCTGAGTAGCTGGGACTACAGGCATGTACCATCATGCCAGATAATGTTTGTATTTTTAGTAGAGGTGGGATTTTACCATCTTGGCCAGGCTAGTCTCAAACTCCTGACCTCAAGTGATTCACCTGCCTCAGCCTTCTAAAGTGCCGGAATTACAGGTGTGAGCCACTGTCCCAGGCCAGGGAATTTTTGAAGACATGAAAATGTCCTGTGTTTTTATTCTTCTGGTGGTTATACGGCTCTAAACCTTGGTCAGAAATTATAGACAGTGTTTCAAAAAAGTAAATATTAATGTATATAAATTAAAAGTAAATTTTAAATAAATAATGAGAGGAGGTGAGGCAAAAACAGCAACTCGCTGAAAACTTTATTTTTTCTTTTCTTTTATTTTTTTAAGACGGGGTCTTGCTCTGTCTCCCAGGTTGGAGTGCAGTGGTGCTATCCAGGCTCACTGCAGCCTTAACCTCCTGGGCTCAAGTGATCCTCTGACCTCAGCCTCCCACGTAGCTGGGACTACAGGAATGTGCCACCATGCCAGGCTAATTGTTTATTTTATTTATTTATTTTTTGTGGAGATGAGCTCTTGCTATGTTGTCCAGGCTGGTCTCAAACATCTGGTGTCAAGCGATCCTCCCGCCTCAGCCTCCCAAACTGCTGTGATTACAGCAATGACCACACCTGGTGCCCTGAAAACTTTATAAAGGGAGACAGAATAAATGGTGTAGTAAACAGAAGCCTATTTCTATTATTTGAAGAGAATAGACATTGTCAGTGATGTTGGCAAGATAGCTGACTAGAAGTGTCTGTTACTCATCCCCTTCCCTCCCAAAAAAAGACTGAAACAATAAGGAAACAACTACACTTTGACTGCATTGTCTGCAGGAGAGCACTGACGTACATACAGCAAGAAAGTGGCAGAAACCTACGGGGCACAGAAACTCAGGATGGCTACATAAAAAAGGGAATGGAACACCCTGCCTCTGCAACCCTGTCTCCTCAGTCAGGATCAGCTTGGAACCCAGGCGGGGATTCAGTCCTAGGAGGGGCTTTTTCCCGAAAACAAAGGTAAAGAAGTTCCCCAGAAGCCCTGATTATGTCTGTGGACACTGGTAGTCTTTGTTGCTGGAGAATCCTGCAGTTCTCATAGCCCCTAAGTCCAGTTTTGGAAGCTGCCCAGAGTTCATATGGGTGCATTATTCTAGAGAAAGAGCCCGTACTGTGGCTCCTCCCAGCCGCGTGACCCATGCTACTACTGCTGCTGCACAGCACCGTCTTGAAACTAGAGCAACTACTAGAGTGTGTTCTGTTCTTGGGGGCGGTAGTCACTGCATCTCTTCATCCCTGAGGCCTCACCATCATTGCATCATGCTCACATGCAGTAGTCCACCATTTACTAGCCAAGCTGCCCAGCTTCCTAACCCATGAGAACAAGCTGTCTAGGAAGCACTCCATTTTCTCCATCCTAATGGCTTCAGTGCCCCAACCCAGGGACTCAAAACCTAGGCTCAGTGAGATAGCTGTGATCCTGTCACTTCAGTCCACAGTCCACATGACATTCTGCCCTGCCAAGGACTAGGCAGTCCTGCCCAGAGGGCAAGTCAAGCCTTATCCAGCAGACCAGCCATGTGCCTGCCTCCTTGGCATATGACCCAGTCAGGTATCCTGCCCCTAGGGAAGTCACAGCTGAGCCAGCAGACCAACTGTGTGCCTTCTTGGTGTGAAAATCATCCTGACACCTCACCCCTGGGGAAACACAGCACTTGCCAATCTGTATTATTCTGCCCTTCTGGGTCAAACAGCCTAAGTGTTCTACCTGGATCTGAACTAGCCCTCTGGAGCCTGAGCTGCTGAT